TTATTTAAATGAACATGATGCTGAGAGAAATGGAAGATATCAAAAATAATCAAACAGAACACCTAAAGATTAAAACATATATAATATCCAAAAAGAAAAAAATTACTTGATTGTATTAACATCATATTAGATGCTACAGAAGAAAACATCAATGCACTTAAAGACATAGCAATAGAAACTATCCAAAGTGAAACACAGAAAAGACTGATACAAAAAAATAAACAAAATCTCAGTGATCTATGGAACAACATCAAGCAGTTTAACATAGATATAATTGTTGTTCTAGTAGGAGAAGGAGGAAAAGACAAAAATACTTGAAGAAATAATGGCTGAAACTTTCCCAAATTAGATGAGAATTATATGTCCACAGATCCAAGAAACTCAATGGATCTTCAAGCAGAATAAACACAAATAAAATCATTCAAAGGTATATCATAATCAGATTTCTGAATATCTATCAGAAAGAAAATTTTAAATGCAGTGTGGGGAGCACATTGCATAAAAAGGAAAAAAGTGATAAGAATGACTACAGACTTCTCATCAGAAATAATGCAAATAAGAAGATAATAGTGAGACATCTTAAAAGTGCAGGGAGAAAACAATCTAGAAGTCCATATTCAGTGGGAATATCTTTCAAAACTGAAGGGGAAATAAAGACTTCTTAATACAAGCAAAAGCTTAGAGAATGTGTTGTCAGCAGACTGCACCACAAGAAATGTTAGGAAGTTCTCTAGGCAGAAGGAAAAAGATGTCAGTTGGAAACTTAGCCCCTAAAATTGTCAAAAGTTACCTTGGAGATATGATGTAAATGTAAAACCAGAGAGCACTTGAAATTTTAAGTGTGTGGATAAATATAAAAAGCATTTTTCTCAATTGTTAATGTCCTTAAAAATAAAGCAAGGAAACATGATAGAAAGAGCAGAGGTATGGGCTGCAATTTTAAGTCAAGTAGTGAGGTCAGGCCTCACTGTGAAAGTGGTATTTGTACATAGACTTGAAAAAGATGGTCAGAGTTGTGCTCAGTAGTATCGGCTACCCTAGGGTACTATCGAGTAATCATGGCTTACTGAAAAATCCCACCCAGGCCATACATTGCATCATGCACTTCAGTAACCATACCTTAACCCAAAGTACTGGCTCTAAAGGGAGAAATTTTTGGACATATGGAGATGTTTAGAGGAGCAAAAAAAATCTCTCTGAGCATTTGAAGAAATCACAAATTACATAACAAAGATAATTGTGTGAACACCCTATTCTGTTCTCCAGACAGCCAGCCCTGGCTGCTCTAAATTCCATTTGTTGAGAATGGAAAAACAAGCACCACATGTACTCACCAGCAAATTGGTATTAACGGATCAACACCTAAGTGGGCATATAGGAATAACATTTATCGGGTGCCGGGCAGGTGGGAGGGGGGAGGGGGGATGGGTATATACAAACATAATGAGTGAGATGTGCAACGTTTGGGGGATGGAAATGCTTGAAGCTTTGACTCAAGGGGGGAGGGAGGGCATGGGCAATATACATAACCTTAACATTTGTACCCCCATAATATGCTGAAATAAAAAATAATAATAATAAAGTCACATAGTATCTAAAAACATATGTAAAAATCAAAAGATTGAGTAAAATAAAATCAGGACCAATGAGCCATTCTAAAAAAAAAAAAATTCTATTTGTTGTATACTCAGCTTCAGGAAGGGATCTGATAAAACTCATTTCTTTAAGGACTAATGAAGCTGGTATGTGACCATCTGTACTTCACATTCCTTATTGTTTTATATTAGAAATTTACATTCCTAATTCAATATTAATTGAATTTATATTATGATATTTATATTTATAATAATTTCTGTTTTAATGAGGACAGAAGTTTCAGCCAAGCAATAAATCTCTATTTGGAGGAACTGAAGCCTCAGTTAGCAGATGGATTATATATATTTTTGGTCAGAATTAAGGACTGGAGTCCTTGTGGAGAAGTTATAAAATCGTAACACAAAGGCCAAAGTCTATGTTCTTCTCAGCAAGAGCTGTTTATGAGTATATGCACAAACTTATCAATGATTGCTTATCTTTTCTTTGACCCCTATTCAACCAAGGCTCAGCAGTAACAATGCCTCATTTATAGATTTTCAATGGGAGTGTTGCCATGTCTTTCAGTGTTATTAATAAATCCCAATCCCCGTTCTCAATCCCACTGCACAAAATTTACAAGTAGAGAAAAACAATTCATTATAACAAACTTCAAATAAGCCCCATAAGGCAGGCTCTTCTTGAGACTCAAGAGCAAATAATACCTCAGGGGTTCATTAAAAGTTGACTTTTCTCTAAGAACCCTTGAGGGTTCTTGTCTGGATGATGCAATACTAGGGAAAGTTCCTCTGAGTTAATGTCACTTTCACAGACTGTTGCCATGGAGGCTTCATTTCAAATGCATTTCAAAATTATTAGAGCACTCTCTTTTTAGTTTTTTTTTTTTATTTTTATTCTATTGAGGTAAAATTCACATAAAATTCACCATTTTAAGCATATACATAAAGTGTATTTTAGTATATTCACAATGTTTTGCAACCATCAACTCTATCTGGTTCTAGAATATTTTGTTATCCCCCCAAAAAAACTTCATAGCTGTTAAGCAATCACTCCCTGTTCCCTCCTAACCCCAGCCCCTGGCAAGCAATAATCTGCTTTCTATCTCTATGGATGTGCCTATTCAGGGCATTTCATATAAATTAACTTATACAATATGTGGCCTTTTATATCTGGCTTCTTTCACTTATCATAATATGTTCAAAGTTCATTCATATTATAGCCTATATTAGTACTTGGTTCCTTTTCATGGCTAAATAATATTCCATTGTATAGATAGGCCATATTTTGTTTATCCATTCATCAGTTGATGGCCATTTGGATTGTTTCCACTTTCGGGCTATTGTAAGTAATGCTACTTGAAAACCAGCCAAAGGTGAGATCTTAGGGCTTTCTCAGGTCTCTTCTGAGCAGTATCCAGCCCTAAGTCTGCACATGGCCTTCCCAGGAATTTGTGGGAGCTTTTCAAAGTCCTTATTTCCCAAAGCATCTCATTCTCCAGTCTTTCCTGTCAGTCTTTTTGGTTAATCTATTTTTTGCCCCAGTTATCCCTTGCTTTAAGCTGTGACTAATACATTTGCCTTTAAATACTTTTGACAAGCCCCATCTCCCTACTCCCACTCCACACCCCACAAAGCCACCTCAACCCTGGGAGAGAGTTCCAGATTAGGCAAAATAAAGGCAAGCTCCTTGAGCTAATTTTTCAGAGAGCCAGCAGAGAGGACAAAACAAACCACCTCAATTTTTTAAATATTCATAGATGCATTAACTGGATAAACGATAATGTATAGGAGAATTATTTAGCTTTATAAAAGGAAATCCAGCCCTTTATGACAATATGAATGAATATGAACTTAGAGGACATTATGCTAAGTGAAATAAATCAGATACAGAAAGAAAAAGACACACATGATCTCTCTTATATGTGGAATCTAAGAAATTGTCAAATACATAGAAACAGAATAGAATGGTGGTTCCCAGAGGTGGGTTAGGTGCAATGGAAAGATGTATGTCAAAGGGTACAAAGTTGTAGTTATGTAGGATGAAGAAATCTAGATATCTAATGTGCAGCATGAGGTTAATAATATTGTACACTAGGAATTTTCTAAGAGAGAAGACTTTAGGTGCTCTTATCACACACAAAAAAATAGGTAACTATGTGACAAGACAGATATGTTAAACTGTTCACTGTAATAATCATTTCTCCATATATAGGTATATCAAAAATCATGTTGTATAACTTAAATTTTACAATTTTTAAAAAAACCTCAATTTTTTTAGTATATGATCTGTTATGCTCCCTCCAGTACTGGGTACTTGTGCTGGGAACGTGGGATTCTATCTTAAAGGCTGCTGCCAACAAGGTAGGAGCTAGAGGCATCCAACATAAGTTAAAATTGCACAAAGCTCTCTTACCAAGATTCAGCTTTTTCCCCTTGATTAAGTGTTCCCTGGTTGCTGCAAGTTTTTGATTAGTAACCAGAGTTCTAAGAAAGTTGGTTCAGAAAGTTTTTGCCAGCTTATTTGTTGCTTTTGTGGGTGGAAAAAAGACTTTTGACGTTCCCTACCTGCCATTTTTGCTGACCTCACTCTAGGATCACCCCCCTTTGTTCTCAGATTGGGATATTCAATTACGGTCCTATTGAGTAATAAGACAATAAACGTTGGAGTCAGATTGATCTCAGTGCAAATGCTGGCTCTGCCACTTCCTAGCTGAATGACAGAGAGATACATTTGTTTAACCTCTCTCTGAACTTCAAATACCTTAAGATAGGGATAATAATTCCTAAGCTGAAAGAGATAGGGTTATGAATAAATGGTGCCAGACATAGCACCATAATTTAAGGTATAAAGCTTATCATGTAATGTGGATTTTCCTGTTTATACTACTGCAATGTGAAATTTACAGACTTTTCCCTATAGCTAAGAAGGAACATGGTTAGAACATGTATTGTTCCTGAGGGGTGGGAGAAGACAGGTAAAATCAAATGAAAACATGTATTTTAAAATGCACACACACACACTCACAATTACAAACAGTATACACAATATGATCTCACATTTGATGAAAAGGCATATGAATCCACAGAAAAATATCTAGAAGGATAAGCATTAAGTAGTTAAGAATGGTAAGCCTTGGATAGGGGAAGTATGGTAGTTTTAATATTTCATTTTTTCTTATCTATATTTTATCATGTTCTACATGCACATATATTACTTTTGCAATTTTTGAAATGCTTATGAAATACAGTAATAAAATCTCTGTTTATCTCTAGAAATTTAATAAATCAACTTTACTTCAAAAAATGAAGTGTTACACAAAATTTATAGCAAAACAGCATGTTACAGTAGAAAACAGGAAGGGCTGGTGGTCAGAATTACTGGGATCTAGGCTCAATTCTGCCTCTTACCAGTTGTATGACCTTGGGTGATTTGGGTAACATCTTGAGCTTCAATTTCCTAAAATGAAAAAAAAAATGAATACAGCTCACTTCTTTTTCCCTATCTTGTGCTGATAATAAGGTAATCAAGATAAAGCTAGTGCAGCCACAATGCCAAGGAGACACAGGTATACGGATATAAGAGGGCTGCACACTAGAACAGTGGTTCTCAAACATTGATATGTATTAGAATCACCTAGAAAAGTTGTTAAAACTCAGATTGCTGGGCCCCATTTCCAGAGTTTTTGATTCAGTAGGTCTGGTAGTGGGGCGCAAGAATTTATATTACAAGTTCCCAGGCAGTACTGACAATGCTAGTCTGAGGACCACTCGTTGAGAAGCACTGAACTAGAGGCAAGGAAACAAACACAGGCTCTTCAGGTTCAAGTTCCAAGTCACCTGTATTAGATCCATGACGTTAGGCAAATCTCTTAATCTGCACTTTTTTTTTCACCAGTAAAAAACAGTAATTCCTGCCAATAAATACCACCTGTCCACAAGATATTTATGAGAATTAAATATTTAAACCTGAGAAAGGAATGCATAAATTCTACTGAATTATAAAAATATTATTTATTATAAAATATAGGTAACTAACATAGCTGGAATTTGAATTATTTTCATCTTAAGAACCCTACAGTGAAGATCCATGGCTTCCAGAAAACATGTCTGAAATCTGAGTACTAGCTACTATAGAGATAACAGTGCCTCGGTTAGACACCATGATGTGAACACGTAAATATTAACAATAATGGCCACAGAGTTATAATTTGTTGAATGCTTAATATTTACCAGGCACTGTACTAATTTAAACCTCACAATCCTGTAAGAGAGCTATTTTTAATAATTCCCAATTGTAGCTAAGGAAGTTTAGGCTTCAAATGTTTAAGTAATTTTTTTAAGGTTATACAGAAAAGACCAGGAACAAGGTTTCTAAATAATATGCTTACAGTGCTATTTGTTGACTCACCTAACTTAGACATTATTTATTAATTCATGGCCTAGAATAGTATTAATACTAACTCATAAAGTTATTCAATAATTTGTTGCTAAAGAAATTGCTACCCATTAGATTTGATTGGGATTTTGTTCTCTTACTTTCCCACACTGCTAAAATTAACTCCTATCCTCCCAAAATAGGTAAATCACAGTTTTCATTTCTCAGTACTCAATGTTTACTGTATTGTGATATGTTATTTAGATATTTAGCAGCATGCCTGGCCCCTAGATGCCAGTAACATGCTGCCACCCCCAGACAAAAAATGTCTTCAGATATTACCAAAAGTCCCTTGGAGGAAAATCACCCCCTGTGGAGAATCACTTGCTCTAGAAGAATAATCCAATCAGTTCCAGCAAACAACTTTCTCAAAAGAAAGGTCCTATTTGTTCTTACAAGCTCTGCATTCCTTCTGCAGCTTTTCTTCTAAGCAGCAAAAAAATTAATGTGTGTGTGTGTGTCAGAAGAAGGTGTAAAGTCCAGTAATAGCAATCATTTTTAAAATTGAGATATAAGTCACAAACCATAACATTCACCAATTTAACATGTACAATTCAGTGTTTTTTAGTGTGTTCACAAGGTTGTGCAACTATCACCATCTAATTCAGAACATTTTCACCACCCCAGAAAGAAACCCCTGTGCCCATTAGCAGTCACTCCCCAATCCTCCCTTCCCCCAGCTCCTGGCTAATCTACTTTCTATCTATATAAATTTGCTTATTCTGATCATTTCATGTAAGTAGAATCATACAATATATAGCCTTTTGCATCTGGCTTCTTTTACTATTAACATAATGTTTTCTGTGCTGTAGCATATATCACTACTTCATTGCTATTATGGCTCAATAATATTCAACCGTGTGAATATACCAGATTTTGTTTAGCCACTCGTTAGCTGATGGGCATTTGGATCGTTTGCACTTTATGGCTGTTATAAATAATGCTGCTATGAACATTCACACACAAGTTTTTGTGTGAACATATCTTGTTAACACTCTTGGGTATATACTTAGGAATGGAATCACTAGGTCACATGGTACCACTGTTTAACTTATTAACTTCCAAACTCTTCCACAGTGGCTGTACCATTTTACCTTCCCACCGGTAGTGTATGAGAATTCCAATTTCTCCACATCCTCACCAGCATTTGCTATTATCTATCTTTTTATTATAGCTATCCTACTTGATGTGAAGTGTTATGTCATTTGGGGTTTATTTTGTATTCTGTGATGGCTAATGACACTGAGCATCTTTTCTTTTTTTTTTTTTTTTTTAATTATTGTCTAGCCTAAAACTATGGTGTTCAAACACTGTCAAACACTGAGCATCTTTTCACATCCTTGTTGGCAATTTGTATATTTTCTTTGGATAAGTGCCTATTGAAGCCCTTTCCCCACAGATTGGATTGTTTGTCTTTTGTTTCTTTTTTTTATTATTTCTCTGAGTTGTTTGGAATTCATTGATTGTCTTTTATTATTGAATTTTAAGAGTCCTTTATATATTCTGGATACTAGACCCTTATCAGATATATGATTTCCAAATATTTTCTCCCATTTTGTAGGTTGTCTTTGCACTTTCTTAATAGTGTCATTTGAATGTACAAAAGTTTTTAATTTTGATAAAGTCTAATTTATATATTTTTAGTTTTGTTGCTCATGCTTTTGGTGTCATATCTAAGAATCCACTGTTAGATCCAAAGTCATGAAAACTTATCCCTGTGTTTTATTCTAAGAGTTTTATAGTTTTAAAAGCAATTTCTTTTATAGACTAAACTTTAACCTGCCTTTTTGTCTTAAATGTCCAAAGGTTCCTCCAGCAATCCTCTTGGGTGTCAATATATGATCACCATCAACTGTAAGCCTTTTTGCTTTAACCATTGGTTGACTCTAAAAGTAGAAAACCAATAAATAGTGATTTGGGAATCAACGCTTAAAAACATAAAAATGGTGAAGCAATGAGAGTGGCTGATATTTTAAGGGGTACAATGTGATATGGGAAGAAGAAGTCAAGGACAGAGAGACTTTTGGGGATCCCATTGTAAAGGGCATGAAGAGGAGGAGGATCTGATTCCCCATTGAAATCATTTCACTTTTGAGCTGTGAGAGTGTTATTTTCTATTTCTAGTTCCACCTACTTCTAACCCTGACCTAACCTGAATTTTTCTGAGCTCCACTTTGGCACTAGCACAGAAGGCACATAGAAAGAACAGAGCTCATCTGTTTTTCTTAGTTCCCTTATTTTATTCAGGACAAACTACATTCAAAATCCAATTTGCTCAATATTTTAAACTACAAAATTATCAGTTGCTATAATCTAATCCTTCTCTAACAGAACAGAAAAACTCCTCCTGTCTATAGTCATAGATGTTGGCTTTTCAGCAATCACAGGGCTTAAGCCCAAATACCAATTTTTGGATTCAATTTCATATGCAAAGCAAACCTAGTTATTGGCATTAATACGCAGTACTATATCCTATTTCATTTCATATTTTCTCTCATTTTCAATATATAAACCCATAAACATATACATAATTTTTCATAAATATGTAACTGTGATAACCTGCATATTTTTGTGAGTATGTACAGTTCTTTGTTCTATATTCTTTTCTTTCTTATTTGTGGTATTGTGTCAATAGCACAGTCATGACACATGCAAACACCTAAAACAGCGTTTCTTCATGGTCTTCTAACTTTTACATCTGTGTGCATTAAAATTCAATTAGTCAAGCTCCATTAACACTGACATGCATGGCCTATCAGGGTACAGACTGTACTCCTTTTGGAAATGGTTTCTCAGGAACCACCACATGATGTTCTCACCCCATCTACCTCCCTCTGATTTAGCTGCTAACTATCCTCCCCACAGTAGGACACCTGCTGTGTTAGATCACAGAGCTTCAAGTCCAGGGGAAATCTAAGGATGATTTCCAGATGCCTGATAGGAACTCACATTTCCATAGCAACTGCACGTTTGAAAAACATTTTCGTTCACATTATCCCATTTTATGCTTACAATATACCTTGGGAGTTGATATTATTACTCTTCATTTTATAGATAAGGGAATGACTTATCACTCAGTAAATAGTATAACTATAACCACACCACACTGTACTCCCTACATTTTGAATATCACCTTTACATTAATTATCACAATCTAGTGAATATTTTGGGATTGCCTATATGGAAAGGGAGATTAAATTTCAGAAGCAAAATACATGTCCAAATCTAAGAAATAAAACACAAGAAAAAATTTATCTCTAAATATGTGGAAAGGTTGTAGGCAGTAAAAACTCCAAGTCTAGCCCATTTACTCTAACCATCCTGACCTCTGGAACAGTCTGGCTGGTCTGACTCCTAGAAAACATCCGTAGCAGTGAGATGAGTAAAACACAGAAAACAGTTCAGTGGGGGGAAGATGTTCATACCTGGCCCTACCACAGGACTTCAATCTAGACGAGAATGGCGGCAGGAGATTACTCTACAGTGACAGATTTCATCTCTAAGGAGTAAGCCAGCCAGGGCTCCAGCTCCCCTCTTCTAGGGATCTATTTGAGCACTATACTACAGTCTGGTCTTGATTACTCTAATTTTTCTTAATTCTCAGCTTCATACTCCCAGGTACTACTTCAGCAGAGATTTATCATTTGTGGATCTCTGCAACTGCTCTGTTATTAAAACATTGATCAACTTTGTGTTGGAGAAGACCACCATTTCCTATGAGGATGGCATGCCACAGCTGTATTTCTTGCTTATGTTGTCACGGCCCAGTGCTACATGATGGCCAACAACTGCTGTCATCACATCTCATCAAGTTAGCTCCCTGCTGGTAGTTGTAGTATTTGTAATGAGCTCAACTACTGTAATATTGTGATTTATTTATCAGTCTTTACTTCTCTCATGATGCATGTATGATATTAATATGAAAAAATTTTGGCTGAATTCAATATTGTTGCTACCATTAATAGATTAACAGTCGATGTTTCCTATACCTTTTCTCTCCAGCATCCTCCACATCAGCTTCACAGAGGGCAAGCTCTGGAATTTTTCTGTGGGTCTCATGCATTCACACTTCTGCTTTGTTCTTTCTCAGATCGCTTGCTCCAGAAAAAATCAGGTGCCATGCAGTAAGAATATTCAATCAGCTCTATGGAAAGGGCCATGTGGTGAGGAAGTTAGGCCTCCTGCCACATTGAGGCCTTCTGCCAAAAGCCACATGAGTGAGCCATCTGGGATGTGAATCTTCCAACCCCAATCAAGACCTCAAATGACCAAAGCCAACCTCTCAACTGTAATCTTGTGAGCAACTCTGAGGCACTGCAATCCAGCTAAGATGCTACCAAATTCCCGACCTACAGAAACTGGGAAATAATATATGTTTGTTGTTTGAAGCTGTTAATTTTTAAAGTAATGTGTTATACAGAAATAAGTAATGCATATATGAAGAAATACTCAAAACTCATTAGTTATCAAGAGAAATGCAAATTAAAATAATGAGAGATCACTTTTTACCATTATCCTTATAGGACCTAAAAGTTCTAGTCCTGGATATGGGTCCCCACTGAATTTTCTTGTAGGACCATAAGAGGAAATGTACATCATTTGTGGTACAAGAAGCAGAAGCAAAATGAGTGTCCCTCAATAGGCAAGTGAGTAGGTAAAACAATATATTCTGCAGCAACAGAAACAAAAGATTACCTGTGAACATAGCAACATGGAATGCTGAGGGTTTTTTAAAGTAAAGAACAGAATGAGATATGAAACAGACTATTGGTTATGTATACTAAACTTACAATGTGTAGACTTTTGAGTACGGTTAGTACGTTGTGGCAGACAAATGCTCCTGCAGGAACAAATAGAAAAAGCTATATTAATTTTAAAAATTGTGTTTTGTGAATATCAGGAAGCTATGGAGGAAATGAGAACAAGATGAATTTTTATCCTGAGGAACTGTCTGCTTCTGGGGCTTTGGTCCAAGCAGAGAGCCTCTGAAGGGGAAAAAATGAACCATCAAAGCTTCTTAGAGTGACAACTGGAAACTTGAAGGACTTCAAACAGATGGCAGTTTTCCCTCATACTATGTTGACTAAGTGATGGGGTTGTGTGGACTGAGGACTAGAATAGAAGCTTCTGAAATGCAAAATGAAATCTCCTACACTCTGTGGTGCTTAGGAAACAGAGACTCCCCAGAAGGAGGAGACCTGCATTGAACTCACTGATACAAACTCACTGAGCCAGTCTCTTCTTCTTCAAAACATTTGCCAAGTTTTGATGCTGCCTACAGGAGAGACTACAAACTAAATGGAAATCCTCTGAAGATGATGATAGAACCTCTTACATTCTTGCACAATTTAAGAGACTAAGACCCAACACACTCTCAATCAAAAAACTGGAAAAGTCAGGCCTATGAATGGAAAAAACTACAGGCAGACTGAAGATTATAATACTAAAACTCCAACACAGACCCAAACATGCTCAGTTCCTGATAAGATCGTGACCAGCTCCTCGCCCTACTTGCCTAGCCAAAGAAAGGAGAACCATCTTTGGTGAAAGATAGCATCATCTAAAGCATCTATAGACTAGACTTAATGACTTCCTTCTACTGAATAGGAAAAAGTAGCAGTTGCAACTTCAGAGATTGGGTCATGAAAGGCACTATGGCTTCCTGTTTGCTTTCCTTCTTGGATTACCAGCTGCCATGTCACGCTATGGAGAGACCCAGGTGATAAGGAACTAAGGCCTGTTGCCAACACCCAGCCAGAAATCGAAACTCCCACCCAATAACCACTGAGTGACTTTGGAAGAGGATCCTGCAACCCAATCAAGCCTTTAGATATCTGCAGCCCCATTCAACATCTGCCTACAACTTCACAAGAGACCCTGAGCCAGAACAACCCAGCCAAGCTGCTCCTAAATTTCTTTTTTTTTTTTTTTTTTTGAGACAGTCTCGCTTTCTTGCCTAGGCTAGAGTGAGTGCCGTGGTGTCAGCCTAGCTCACAGCAACCTCAAACTCCTGGGCTCAAGCGATCCTCCTGCCTCAGCCTCCTGAGTAGCTGGGACTACAGGCACGAGCCACCATGCCCGGCTAATTTATATATATATGTTAGTTGGCCAATTAATTTCTTTCTATTTTTATAGTAGAGATGGGGTCTCGCTCAGGCTGGTTTTGAACTCCTGACCTTGAGCAATCCGCCAGCCTCGGCCTCCCAGAGTGCTAGGATTACAGGCGTGAGCCACCGCGCCCAGCCCTAAATTTCTGATCTACATAATCTTTGGGATAATAAATGTTTTTGTTTTGTTTTAATCCCTAAGTTTTTGCATAATTTTTTATGCAACAATAGAAAACTAGTGCATTAAGCTAACACAAGAAACCAGAAAATCCAAATAGTTAAATATTTACTAAGTAATTAAATCCATTACAAAAACCTCCAGGCAAAGAAAATCCCGAGACTAGATGGTTTCACCTGTAAATTCTTCCAAATATTTAGTGAAGAATTAATACCAAAATTGCATAAACTCTCACAGAGAGAGAGGATAAAGAGGAAATAACTAACTCTTTGGGTAGGAGAGCATAACCTGCAAAAGTCCTTATAAAAATGGAAAATTAGGCCCGGTGCGGGGGCTCACACCTGTAATCCTAGCACTCTGGGAGGCAGAGGCAGGTGGATTGCTCAAGGTCAGGAGTTCAAAACCAGCCTGAGCAAGAGCGAGACCCTGTCTCTACTATAAATAGAAAGAAATTAATTGGCCAACTGATATATATATATAAAATTAGCCAGGCATGGTGGCACATCCCTGTAGTCCCAGCTACTCAGGAGGCTGAGGCAGTAGGATTGCTTGAACCCAGGAGTTTGAGGTTGCTGTGAGCTAGGCTGACGCCATGGCACTCACTCTAGCCTGGACAACAAAGCGAGACTCTGTCTCAAAAAAAAAAAAAAAAAAGTGGAAAATTAGATCAAGTTCTCTCTTAAATGGAAATGTAAAAATTCTTTAAAAAAAATTTATCAAACTGAAACCAAAAAAAATATCAAGAAGATAATATATCTGAAGCAAATGAGGTTTATTTCACAAATGCATGAGTAATCTAACATTTAAAATTTAATCAATATATTTTATCACAATAATGGAAAAAAGACAAAAATCATATGAACATCTCTACATACACAGAAAAAGAATTTTTAAAAATTCAACATCTATTCATAATAAACACACTTAGCAAGCCAGGAATAGAAGAGAACTTCTGTAATGTGAAAAAGAATGCCTACCAAAAAAGAAAAGATAAGAAAACAACCTACTACCGTGACCACCCTGCTCAATAGCAAAATACTAAAAACTTTCCCCTAAAAGAAGGAAAAAGACAAGGATATCCACTATCACTACTTATATTCAATATTTTACTGAAGGTCCTAACAAGTGTAATAAGTCAAGAAAAAGAAATAAAAGGCATAAATATTAGAAAGAAAAAAATGAAACTGTTATTTTTTTCACAGATGAAATGGTTACATAGATAAAAATAATCCAAATGAATCTACAAACTATTAGAATTAATACTGAATTTACAAGGTTGCTATATACAAGATCAATACATAAAAATCAGTTATATTTCCATATATTACCAACAAACACTTAGAAAATCAAAATTTTTAAAAAATAGTTCATTAGTCATCAGAGAAATTCCAGTTAAAACCACAATGCATTACTACCACACACCTTCCAAAATGGCTTTAAAAAGTTTTTTAATTGCAAAAAACTAATGGCAAGGATGTAGAACAAGGACCCTTATAAGATATTGGTGAAAGGTAAATTTATACAACCACTGGAAAACTATAGAGAAGAACATATATAGCATTCTGACCCAGCATTCCACTCCTCAGTATATACCAAACATAAATGCACACATATATTCACCATAAGACATATATTAGAACGTTCACAGTCACATTATTTTATAATACCCGGAAAACCTGAAAACCCAAATGTCCATCAATTGGCAAATGGATAAATAAATTGTTGTGTAGCTATAAAACATAAAAAAGTGAATTTCTGATACATATGACAACATGAATGAATTTCAAAATTATGTTGAACAGACAATCCAGACACAAAAAATACATGCATATGATTCCATTTATACAAAGTACAAAAACAGGCAACAAAATGGATGGTTCTTCTAAATATAATGTGGCACAAAAGAAAGACACAAAAAAGTATAGACAGGTGATTCCATTTTTATAATATATTAGAAAGGCAAAGCTAATCTACACTATTAGAAATTAGGACAACAATTAGCTTTTGGGAAAAGATAGTTATTAGAAAGGAGCACAAGGTGGTTTCCAGGATGCTATTAATGTTCTGTTTCTTGGCCAGATGAAAATGTATTGAACTGCACACAAGATATATGCATATTAACATATGTGTATTATACTTCAATGAAAATGTATTTTTAAAAAGCAAAAGAATATACATGCACATAAACCAATAATAAACATTTGGCAAAAACACACAATTATGTGTGTTTTATTTATAAAAGATATAGAAATGGAAATATCCTCTCAGTAACAGGGAATAGAAACAAAGGATCCCTTCTGCCGTTCCCACGCCTAGATCACGCCAGTTACACACAGGGCAGCTCTGAATCAGAGTTAGCCTCTAGACTGTGGGATGGGGAGAGAGGAAGCCCCAACCCATACCTGTGGGGCCAGGAAAAATATTCAAATAGAGGCCCACATACCATATACCTAAAAAATTAAAAGTTACAAACCAAGTAACAAACTGTTGAATAAAATTCTGTATGTTCTACCTGCCTACCCTGACATATCACACACATACATATATATATACAACCTTCATAATGATCAGGAATGCCAGGCTCAAATTTAGAATCCTCAGACTCTCCCAGGCCCCTGGCCCAATCCCTGTCTCTTTCCAACCCAGCTAAGTATCACACTGCAAAAAAACCTCACAATTGCATGGGGGTCTACCCCAGGACTTCTAAATTCAATCCAAATCCCCACAACCAGCCATTCCTTAGGCCTACAAGTGCATACTGGCAGCACAATCTTCCCTGGGAGAATGTCCCTGAGGAAGAGGCCCACACAGGTCCTGGAGGCAGGCTGGGGCCTGTGGGCAGGGTATTACAGAGACCCACGCACAAGAAGAGTGGTTTAGAGTGGGTGCATAGGCCTGAGTGAACACATCCCTTGGCCCCATGGACTCACTGCCTCATAGGAAGGACACAGCCACAGGGGACCAGAGTAAAGGCCAGCTTAAGGGCCTATACTGCCAAGTTTAAGAGCAATACTAGATACAAGAGTACCTTATTCTCCACCCAAACAATCCCACCAAAAGAGCTGATATTTGCCCTACACTTTAGTTTACAAAGCACCTGCACACACAATACTTTTAATCAATCCCACAACTTTGTAAGATTGTAACATACTTCCATTTGAGAGATGAGAAAACTGAGCTAAAAATGACTTGCCTGAAGTCACACACACAAAAAATGAGCACTCCTCGGTCTCCAGTGGAGGAGTCTTTTCTCTAATTTCAAAGGTACTCAACATGGCATGCATCCCCCAGCTCTCTAGAGAACTGATGGGCTAAAAAGGAACTTAAAATTATAAGTACATAGTTGAAATATTTTGGAAAAAAAAAAAACAGAGTCAGAAAAGGACATTTAACACCAAATACAGAGCAATTTCTGGGAAAAAAACCTGGGCCCAGAGCAAAAATCATCACTGGGACAAAGACTACTATGTAGCGGTAGCAATCCTAGCTGGGTCTTGGGGGCTCCATTCCCACTCCAAACCACAAAATGAGGGCCTACAACACATTTAAGGAATCCCCACCCAAATTCCACACCAATTACATGGGGGGTGGGGGGGTCTGGCTCCACAGCCCTCCTTCTCTCCACCACTCTGCTGAAAATACTTTATTAATGAGAGGGCGACATAAAGCCACAGGACACCATCTGCTCAGAGGCAATCCAGAGAGAGAGCAGCCTGGCACCACCCCAGGTGAAGCCTGACCCTCCTCCAGCAAGGACCCACTAAGGCCATGCCTCCCTCTAATTACTAAGTGTCTAGCTCAGGACCTGGGAAGTTATTTAGAGAACCATCGCCTGCTCCTTGCACAGATTATCCATGACGCAGCAGGCACTGTCTGCTCGCAGCCAGCTGCCTGAAGCTGCCATCTCCTCACTCCAGTATCCCGGGATCCCTTCTGCCGCCTCTGCACCCTCAAGTTCAGCAGCATCATGTCTCTTGCAAACACAGCTGCGGAGTACATGCTCTCCGATGCCCTGCTGCCTGACCGCAGGGGTCCCCGCCTCAAAGGCCTGCGCCTGGAACTGCCCCTGGACCGGATGGTCAAGTTTGTAGCCGTGGGCTCCCCGTTGTTGCTGATGTCTTTGGCATTCGCCCAGGAGTTCTCCTCTGGTAAGTTACTTCCAAAGCCCAGTGTGTAAGAGAGATTCCACTTCATATCAGACTCTGCATGGGCTTAGAAGTGAGATAGCACTCACGGTGACTGGGTTTCATGACTTTGGGCTGGGCTGGATAACCCAAAAGGCAGACAATATATGAGCAAAGCAGAAGCACTAGAAAGTTTTAAAAGTCATCTCCAAAATGTTACAATAAAAAAAATTAATTGTAATTTTAGTATTCATATTTATATATTTTATATCATTTCAATACTTAAACTTTTAGTTTGGTTTTCATATGATGAGAGAGGTTGGAGTCCCATAATCTTTTCAAGACCTCAGACCTCTCCATCTTAGCCACACTTTGAAGACATCTCTCGCTTCCTCCGTGCTCTCTTCCTATGCCCCATCTCCAGGGTTACTGATCTGAGAACACATGTTAAGTGTCTGATGGAGCCTGGCACATTAGGGGAGCTGGATAAGCTCAGTGGATCCTCTCCACAAACCCCAGCCACACACAGACATGAACATACACATGGAGCTAGTGCTTCAGGTGCTGGATTAACTCAGCAAATCCACTGCCTCTATTAAAGAGAACGTGGACTTCCCTAGACTTCTGGCTTTCTTTTCTGGCTATGCCACGAACTTACTACATTTCCCATTGAGGGGTGCCAACCTCCCACTGCCTCTTTGTCAGCCTCTTTCTGGAAAATAATGGGAAAACAAAAAGCCAGACTCTCCTCCAAATCTACTTTCCTTCTGGTACTACATACCCACTTTTCCTCTTGATTTGGGCTAAGAAATCCAGGCAATTAATCCTTCACATTTTAGTGTCGGCTCTCTCAGGAAGGAGACGTCACCATCAAACTGCAAGGCATCTGGTGCCAGGTTGTGGGAGCACAGGGAGCCCCCACTGCCCACCAGTCTGGGGTCTAGGGGACTCCGACAGAACAGAACCACCAGACCTAAGAGGCTGAGTCAGTCACTGGTAGGCCTGGGCCAAAAATCAGAATGCTCTCCAGGTGTGCCCTATCCAACCGTGACACAGCCATGCCCAACTCAGAAAACTGGGGCATGGGAAGAAGACAGTGCCTGCCAAACACAGAAATCAGCAAGGAGTTGTGGAGGTGACCCCTAGAAAACTGTCAGATGAGTGCCCCCTGTCTTCCCATTCCTCCACTCCAGCTCGGGGCTGCCTCAAAGCTGCATTCCTATTCCAGGGTCTCCGATCAGCTGCTTCTCTCCCAGCAACTTCAGTGTCCGGCAGGCTGCCTATGTGGACAGCTCCTGTTGGGACTCACTGGTCCACCATGAGCAGGACAAGCCTGGCCAGTACAAGATGAAATCTCTCTGGCCCTACAAGGTAAAGCAGCCAGACTGTATAAGGCCACCTCCATGGCAGCGTGGAGTGGACGGAACTGCATCGTTCTATTTCCTGTTGACTCTTACCCCCACCTCCACCCACACCCCACTTATGTTGGTCGCTGACTTTCATGTTTCAGGCATTCTTCAAATGTCTGGTGATCTTTGGTTGCCCACTCTTGTCTGACTGGAAGGTTTGTGCTCACGGTTGAGGCATGTAGACAGGCAGGCTTCAGTTTAAGGTGATCCTTTGATCTATTTCACTGGGAAAACCTCAAATATCAGTATCTTCAGTCCTTTCTCTTGGGCCAGTTGGTTTTCTCCAAAAAAAAGTCATTCAATCCTTAATTTGTGGGGAAAGGAAGGGTGCAGTTGCAATTAAATCTGGCTGCCCACCCTCTGGGAGCTCGGCTGTGGGTCTCACTGTTCAGTGTTCATTCAACTGTTCCTGCCATTCTCAATATGGTTCCCCTGCCTCAGTGGACCCAAGTGCAGAGTTTAAACTGGTTTAATCTCTCCCCAGAGAGCAATCTCAAGGTTCTGTAAAGGGAGGGAAACAGTAGCTGCTTGAATGCCTCACGTTACAGAAAGGATCTGTGGGTCTGTTTCTCACACAGATTTCTCAAACAATTTTCCTGTTTTCAGCCCCATCTACACTGTCATTTTCAGAAGTCCCTGGTTATCTCCATTTCCCAGGGCTTTCTGGTTCTGTGGTGCAAAACAGCTTGCCTGCCCCTGCACCAGCTTCCCGCCCTCCCTGTAGGCTGCTATCTTCCATAATGTAACTATTTTCCAGTTTTCAGTATTTTGTTCTCTTGTCTCCTCTCCTGTTCTCTTTGTCCTTACAAGATTACATCTTTTTTTAATCCTTTATTGTTATCATAGTGGGATTTTACGACAGATTAGCAGTAACATATATATTCAATTCACAAAGTCATATAGCATTTTCTAGGCATGAAAATTCATAAAGCCTCAAATTGCCACAATTCTAGGATCCAGGCAAAACCAGAGACATAAGGGAAAGAGTTCAGGAGGTTTCTGTCACTGGAAGCTCAAGCACGATTTAAATGGTAACAAGTTCTACCACAGAGGGGATTCACATGTCAGAAAAGGGTCAAATTGTCTGATAATCAAGATCTTTAAACCCAAATTCTCTGCCTCCACTCCAAATCTAAGAAATAAAATCTCTATGGGCACCTTGTTCATTTTCAAGAAATGTCATTTCTTAGACAGGAGTGAAAAGGTTCTAATTTTCTCTCGTGGCCTCATGGTTAGGTACCTTTCCTAACATAAGCTATCTTTTTGAGTTCAGAAAACACACCCCCTTCTCCTCTACCCAGGTGCAATCATATATGTATCCTCTCTCTTTTTCTTCAAACTCTCCTCTAAAATAAGCATCCCTGGTTCAGGAGAAGCTATAAGTCAAGTAGTCATTAACGGAGTAAGCTCCAAATATCAGACAGCCTAGATCCAAACCCTGGCTCTCCCACCTGCTAAATGTGCAACCCTACAGAGGTTACTTTATCTTTTCATGCATCAGTTTCCTTATCCATAAAATAGAGATACTAATCATACTGACCCAATAGCATCCTTGTAAAGATCAAATAAATCATGCATGTTAAGCATCTAACAAAAATGTAGCTTTAAAAAGCCTTTACAGGCCGGGCACTGTGGCTCACGCCTGTAATCCTAGCTCTTGGGAGGCCGAGGCGGGCGGATTGCTCAAGGTCAGGAGTTCAAAACCAGCCTGAGCAAGAGCGAGACCTGGTCTCTACTATAAATAGAAAGAAATTAATTGGCCAACTGATATATATATAAAAAATTAGCCGGGCATAGTGGCACATGCCTGTAGTCCCAGCTACTCGGGAGGCTGAGGCAGAAGGATCACTGGAGCCCAGGAGTTTGAGGTTGCTGTGAGCTAGGCTGACGCCATGGCACTCACTCTAGCCTGGACAACAAAACGAGACTCTGTCTCAAAAAAAAAAAAAAAAAGCCTTTACAAATAGAGATTTTACTGTGGGCAAAATAGCAGGCCCAACCCTGTGAGGTGTGGTAAATACGAGGAGGAAACCTAAGTAAAAGTTCCTAATTAGTTCACAAGGGCCGCCATAACAAAGTACCACAAATTGGGTGGCTCAGTCAACAGAAATGTATTGTGTCACAGCTCTGGAGGCCAGAAGTCCAAGACCAAGGTGTCATCAGTGTTGGGTCCTCTGAGGGCCAGGCCATGAGGGAAGGACCTTCCAAGTCCCTCTCCTTGGCTCATAGACACAACACCCTGGGGCATTCTTCCTGTGGCCATGTCTCCCCTTCACTTGACTTTTTATTCTTTTAAGAACACCAGTCACCAGAACACCAGTCCTAATTGGATTAGGGGCAATCCTATTCCAGTAGGACCTCATTTGAAATCAACTAATCACATGTGCAACAACCCTATTTCCAAATAAGGTTTCATTCTGAGGTACTAAGGATTAGGACTTCAACATATTAAAGAGGGGGAAATACAGACACAATTCAACCACGGCAGTCCCTTATCTCAGGTGTAGCTAATAATATAGGTGAAGAGACAAGGTTTATGCATTCTTAAAAGTCAGTTCATCCTTGGTTAACATGGAATGTAAAAAAAAAAAAAAAAAAAAAAAAGTCAGTTCGTATATCTGCATACCTAAAAGAGCTCCCCCAAAGAATTCCAAGATAGTGTCTGATGGTGCAGGCATTACCAAGAATCCAAAAATTAAAAAAGACCACTGTGCATCAGAGAAGTCCAGGAAGGTCATCTGGAGAAAATGGGATTTTCTGTCCCCTGGGATGCCATGGCCACTGTTGGCTGTGACCTCTGGTTAGCTACTCAGATTAACACATTTGGAAGGGGAAGGTAGGGAGAGCCTGCCTCTCTCCCCCCCCCCACCTCCATCCCCTTTCTCTCTCTTTCTCTCTCTCTACCGGGGCCGAGACAGATGCTGGGTCAGTTAAGTAGACCTGGGGAGCATGAAGATACACGTCCCTTCCCTACTAGGCCTCACTGTACTCAGCCAAGTCCATGCAGGGCCTGTGGTAGCCCATCGCCCATCTCCTCTGAGACAGGCACTTGGGAAAGGGTAGCCCCTCACTCAGCTGTCACTCAGGTCTCAGCAGCCTGCCCCCCTCCTCAGCTGCTCTCACCCCACAGGCGCTTCCCTACTCCCTGCTGGCCTTGGCCATGGTCATGTACCTGCCAGTTCTGCTGTGGCAGTATGCGGCCGCACCAGCACTCAGCTCAGATCTGCTGTTCATCATCAGCGAACTGGACAAATCCTATAATCGCTCCATCCGCCTGGTGCAACACATGCTGAAGATCCGGCAGAAGAGTTCCGACCCCCATGTGTTTTGGGATGAGCTGGAGAAGTGAGTTGTTTCTTCTACCTTTTTCTGAAAAACTGAAAAACAAAGAACTAAAACTTAGGGCTAGTCAAGCATTAAAATGATGTCTTTGCATGGCAATTTTTAAGTTATCTTCTGTGCCATCCTTGTCAAGAGTACTAAGTATTTACACATCACCTCCTTAACTTTCTATCATTTCTGTAAAGAGAAAGGATTCTACCTCTAGTGTACAGGTGACTACACTGAGCCCACAAAGGTATTTGTCTCTCTAAAGTACCACTTCTGCACACTATTCTACACTATTCCCCTCAGAAACCTTGAATAGCTCCCCCCATGCTTACCAAGAAATACCCCAATTCTCCTAAATATATGTCCAAGGCCCTCAACATAAATAATGTCACCATTTTCAAACCTCTAACTAGCAGGTAACAGAAACCTTCCACTCTATGTAGGTAGTCTCCTTCTTTTCCCATCAAATCATTTATTTATCTAATCATTCCTACATCTGCACACTGGGCAATGCTCTAGGTGCTTCTGCTAAATTAGTGTGTGTATTGCGGGGTGTGGGCAGGAGAGACAGAGCTATACCTGCCCACGTGGGGCTTACATCCTGCTGAGAAAAACAGACGACAAATAAACAGAACACATTTGTAAATTATATGTCAGGAGATAAGTGATATGAAGAAAAGAAAAAGTAAGGTGGGGGTTGGGGGGGTCTGGAAAGCCAGAGGGATGAAGAGAGGTATTGTTTTAAACAGAGGGGCCAGGCTCAGTCCTCCAAGAGGACAAGAGGACAGTTGAGCTAAGATTTGAAATCATATTGTCTTATGTTCATGCATATACCCTATCATCTGAAAAAGTTCCTGTCTACCTTTTGAAGCCCAGCTTTAAGCCAATATTCTTCATAAAGGTCTCTGAACACTCTAGCCCACACTGTTAGCTCCCTCTCCTAACTTTTGCAACTACTATGGTTTGTGTCCATCATTTTAGCAACATATCAAGTGCTATTTTTATTTCATATTTGCATGTCTTATCTGTCCCTTCCCCACAAACCAGACTCTAAGGTTCTTTGAGTCTAAGCAGACACGGGCTTGCATGTACTTGAACACCACAGCTCTGAACAAATGTTAGTATTAGTGACCACATTTATTTATATAAAATGAACTGGCCTAAAAATCATACACAGAGTACACAGGCCAAGAATGAGAATGCACTTATTTAGACTCCCAGTCCAGTGCTAATTTCATAAGCCTATTGCTTCCTAAGCATCCTACTTCAACTTAGAGCTTTAGTCTGCCTTGCTGGCCAGAAATCCAGTGTGACTACTCATTACTCACTGACCATTCACTGGGTTTATCACATTGCACTCAATAGTTGGAGAACCAGGATATACTCACACACCTGTTTTTGGCATGAAGCGTGGTTATGCTCAGGGAAGGAAGATTTTCATGTGAGCCAAGAATGCCATGTTGGAAACACAGATCTTCTTTTACTTTCCCATGTGTCTCTCTTAGGGTACGGTTCTAAATGGCCCTTCCTAACCTTGCCTCCTGTCTTCCCCTGCCCAGGGCTCGGAAAGAACGATACTTTGAATTCCCTTTGCTAGAGCGGTACCTGGCATGTAAGCAGCGCTCACATTCACTAGTGGCTACCTACCTCCTGAGGAACGCCCTCTTGCTCCTCTTCACCTCAGCTACTTACCTGTACCTTGGCCACTTCCATCTGGATGTCTTCTTCCAGGAAGAATTCAGCTGCTCCATCAAGACAAAGCTGCTAAGCGATGAGACCCACATCCCTGATCTGATCACATGTAGGCTGACCTCCCTGTCCGTTTTCCAGATTGTTAGCCTCTCTAGTGTGGCAATATACACCCTGTTGGTTCCAGTGATAGTCTACAACCTCACACGGCTATGTCGGTGGGACAAACGACTCCTATCCATCTATGAGATGCTTCCAGCTTTTGATCTCCTCAGCAGAAAGATGCTGGGATGCCCCATCAATGACCTCAATGTGATCCTTCTTTTCCTCCGAGCTAACATCTCTGAGCTCATCTCTTTTAGCTGGTTGAGTGTCTTATGTGTGTTGAAGGACACAACCAGCCAGAAGCACAACATTGACACAGTGGTCGACTTCATGACTTTACTGGCTGGCTTAGAACCCACAAAACCTAAACACCTCACCCATCAGGTGTGTGATGAACACCCATAGTTAAGAAACCATGGAGCAAGAAAATCTGTGAAAAAAAAGTATCTCTCCTTCCTCACAAGCCACACCTACTAAAACAAAAAATATATATACACTTTAGAATTGCTAAGCTTAATTCAGCTGAATCATCTATCCTATATCATGTTATCCTAAAGGTGAGAAGCTGCAATAAAGACATGGAAGTAAAATACGAAAGCTGGAGGTAAAGAGCCAAAAAACTAAAAATTGGGGCTATAGCATTCTATGAGAATAGAATAAATAAACAAATAAAGTCTAGAAATTCTACAAGGAAAGAAGACTCTAAAGGCTATTTATTAAGGCACATTTTTCTCACTATATTCATTCCATCACCCTCTAGGATATACACTCAGCTTACCCCGAAGAGCAAGTGAGGCAATCTGTTAAGAAATTAATAAAGATGTGAAACTCCTGGAAACTTTTTGGTGTCACCTGAAATCCCAGGAATTTGTTCCGCTTGCTTTGTGGAAGTCATCAACCTTGCCCAGGTCCCCTGTGGGTAAGCAAAGTGAGTCAGAAGTTAATGAAGGCTTCAATTTGTATTCTGATCTTAGGGTTTAAGGACATAGTAGAACAAGGCCAGGGCCATGCATGCACCAGCCTTGAGTGAAGCCTTGAGGTGTCCACACCACTTTTCATCATCTAAACCAGGGATTCATTTCACCAAGGGCTGGGATTATGAGTTGTGGACTCTTTCACAACTCTTAATGGGCCCAGGTATGCTTTTAGTACCCCAGGGGTTACTATACCTTCCCTTAGAGCCAATCACTGAATAGCAACCACATAGAACTAAACAAGATAGAAAGTAAAGTACTATTGAACCCTCTTTCCTAATTCATCTCCCATCTTAGCTCCTAACTTCCATTCCTGTGCCTGGATTTAACAGAACCTTGATCTGACTCCAAAGGCCATGCTCAGCCACAGTACCATGCTTTCTCTCATTTTATATTTCTTTTTAGGGATGCACATTATGTATTCATTTCTTTAGAGAATTTTTGCATAGGCCATTTAGACTCTTCTTCATATAGGTAAATAGAACAGTTATGTTGCTTCTGACGAATTCAGATAAATTTACTTAAAATAAGTGAAAAGCTGATATACAGACACTCATCAATGACTTCCCATTGTCACAGGATAAAAGTCCAACTCTTCAGTGATACACATGACCTTTCATGATCCAAACGTGCCTACTTCAGTCTCTCCTCTTGCTTCTCTCCAAACACATCTTTCACTCTGATCAAATACTTGCAGTTCCCATGCTTCTCACAATGGTGAGATTTTAAATATGCTGTGTCCACTGCCCAGAATGCCCTCCTTTGTTGTTTACTGGGCCAACCACTGCCTCTCCTCCAGTCTGACCATGCAAATCTCCTTTAAGAAACTTTCCCTATCTCCCCTCTTCTTCCCTAACTGGGTACTGCCATATCAAACAAAACCTACCTCTGAAATAAACTTTTTACACCATATTAATATTGCTGATTTACTTGTCTGACTTTCTCTCTTAAATTAAGGTTGTATCATTATGTAATTATGGAAATAATTACACAAAATATAATATAGCCATACTAGACTATTAACCAGCATTTAAAATTATGTTTCTAAAGAAGTCATAATAACACTGTGAAATGACTATAATGGTAAATTATTATTTTTTTTTTTATTTTTTTTTTTTAGACAGAGTCTCACTTTGTTGTCCAGGCTAGAGTGAGTGCCATGGCGTCAGCCTAGCTCACAGCAACCTCAAACTCCTGGGCTCAAGCGATCCTCCTGCCTCAGCCTCCCGAGTAGCTGGGACTACAGGCATGCGCCACCATGCCCGGCTAATTTTTTATATATATATCAGTTGGCCAATTAATTTCTTTCTATTTATAGTAGAGACGGGGTCTCGCTCTTGCTCAGGCTGGTTTTGAACTCCTGACCTTGAGTGATCCGCCCGCCTCGGCCTCCCAAGAGCTAGGATTACAGGCGTGAGCCACAGCGCCCGGCCTATAATGGTAAATTATTAAAAGGAAACATTATATTTCATATGCTCTAACCCATATAAAAATGTATCAAAATATTAAACACATATATTAATACTTACATGTTAAAAGTGGTTCAGTCCAAGTGTCAGCATTATGGATTTTTGAAAATCTTCTTGATACTATATATTCTACATTTCTAAAAAATTTGCATGAAATGTTTTATAATTGTAAGGAAATGTTTCTAATGAAATAGAAACAATAAGCATTTTTATGTAAATTCCATTAAAATCCATTGGCCAAAACGCCTGTAAACTAAGACAAAAGATTGCACTTTCCTTCCCACTAGATACATGTATATGAAGATGAGTAATACAATAAAGTCAGAACCCTAAGCTTGCAAGCACAAAATACAGCTAGACAGCAAATAAGTTAGGCAATTAGCAAATAAGGTTTTTCTAAAAAGACTAAGAAAGTCTCTTCCTATCACAGGAACTATTTTCAAGTTCCAAGGTAAAGTGTCAGTGTATATTATCAAAGGCATGAGTGTGAGTATTTTGTGAGTTGGAAATAATCCTGGAGGATTCCAAAGCTGAATCTCTATGACTGCCTTAAGAACGTTTGTGCAAGCATACTGGCACCCTGAGAAGCTGCTCTATTACAACCCAGCCAGGTCCAACAAGGGTAGGTTACAGTATGGATAGGCATAAAAGGACTTCCATGAGCTTTCACTTTGTGTTAAAAACCCAAGACCCTGTCCCTCTTTCTACAATTTTCAGAAATGGGTCATCAATCCTAAACCTATCAATTTTGAATTCTAATTATATCATTTTGAATTCTAATTATATCATTTTGAATTCTAATTATAAATTACTTAGTGTTAGAATCCTCCTCTCTAGTAATTCAATGAACTTATTGTTTTAACGAGGTAACATTTTCTCCAGAATTCCCATATACATCTCTAGAAGTCTACATTTTGAATATATTAACAGTAATTATATATCAGTAGAGAACAACTAGAGAAAAATTCAGTCACCTCCATTATTCTAAAGAGTATATTCAGTTTTGAGAGGAAAAAACAACTAGATGCTCAAGGGTACTGCTGGAAGAATTAAAACCTTCCACCATCCAGCCCTGGGGCATTTACCAAATCTGCACCCTAAAGATTTATTTGCCTCGCTTCCTTATTTGGTGATTTTAGGTAGATCTTGGTTATAAAGTTAGAACTATGTAAATGTAGGCATATGTTTGTATGCCTATAAATACACTTACGGTTTCATTAGGCAAACATTTACTTAGTGCCAGTATTTTATGAAAACTGCGTGTTAAATCTCCCATCTTTCCTACTAGATTTTAAGCTGAGGGGGCCAAGGCCTTTTTTTTTCCGATTCACTATTGTGGTCCCAGCTCCTGGGAAGAGCATAGCATAAGAAACCCGAAGAAATAATTATGCGAACTGCATAAAGGAAGGAGGCAAGGGAAGAAGCCCAGTCCCAGCACTTGCGTTCAAGTGCGTCCTACTATCCGGGAAGACCTGTCTGTATGAAGTGTGAAAAACGAGTATTGATACGCTGTGGCCTGTGGGCAGCGTGAACCAGAGCTCACGTGGGTAAAATTCTCGTTCGTTCCTGCCTTATTTCAACAATAGTACTGCGCAGCTAAACGCAGAGATGCGCGAGTCACGGACCCTCGTTTCCGGCCGCCGCCCTCCCTCCTCTCCTCGACCCGCGTTAGCCCCATCTTCATCTTCCCTCTTTGCAAGCCTAGGAACCGCAAGGTCAAGGCCGCAGCCCCGGAAGTTACACGAGGCCGGCGCCGTTGCGTAACTTCCGGGCAGGGCTGACTTCCGAGACAGACGCGGAAGTGTTGGGAGGCGCCGGCGGCCGATTTGGTTGCAAGATTTCTGGCCCTGCGGTCGGCTCTGGGAACCTCCTGTGGAGCTAAATCATTAGAGGCCCGATTCCGCCAGCCCCGAACGGACTAAGACAGCGCTCCTGCCCGCTCCTTGGTGTAGGGGCCGATGCCGGCCGCGTCCTGGAGCCCCCGTAGCGGGGCTGGACCATGAGCCTGCTGGGCGGCCTCACTTCCTCGCCGCGGGCCCCGCTGCAGTCCAGCAGGGCCAGGATGAAAAAGCTCCCGAGGAAGAGCCAGAACGAGAAGTACCGACTGAAGTACCTGCGGCTGCGCAAAGCGGCCAAAGCCACGGTGTTTGTGAGTCTGACGGTCTCTCAGCCTCTCTCCTCGACACTCCTTCCTTGCGAAATCTTTCCCCAAGCTGTTCCCCTTCCCAGAGTGCCAGTATTAATAGAGTGTTAGCTTTTCAGTATGTATTACTACTTGTTAGCCTTATATCCATGGGCAAATTATGTAATTTCTCTAATCCTGTTTCCTCATCTATAAATGAGAGCTAGTAACTATATTACAGTTATTAAGATTAAATGAGAAAAGTAAAGTGTTTCGCACTTAGAAGATGTGTCAATAAATTTTAGTCATCATTATTACTGCAAAACTCTCAGAAATGTGTTTGATTCTCGAGATGACACTGAGATTTAGGTACTATTTTTAAAATAAGAACTACGAAGTCCAGAGAGATGATTTGCTCAAGAGCACTGTGACAGGGCCCTGACTCCAACTTAGAAACCAGTTTACTACTTCGACTACACAGCCTATTTCGTGAGCACTCCACATACCCCATAACTAACCCCTTCCCTAGTACATGAAGCTTTCAATAATTATGCCTTCTAACCTTCTTTGAGTCTCCCAAGTGTTTCTGCCTTTCTTTTATTGTTGAGGCACTGGTTTACTGAATGAATGAACTCGCTTGCCAACCATAACTTTGTGTTAGAATATTCTGGTTTGCTCAAGCTTGCCTCAATACTTGGAAATATGGGTGGATTTCTCAAAAGTCCTCCCACATCTGAATCAACAGTACCTCTTCTTTCTACCAAAAGCTTGAACATTTCTCAGCATTTTAAAAAGAAAGGTTTGGAAATTAAAATATTCATTCCAAAAACATTTATTCAACACTTGTTATATGCACTGGAGAGAAATAAAAAAAAGTAGAATTAAGAGGACTTGACGTCTTATTGACTGTTCTCTTTCATGTACCCCCTACATGTCAAAGGAACCTAAAACTTGGAGTCTATGTTATTGAAAAATGTTGGTTCAATCATATACATAAAGAAGGTTTTGTGAAGAAAAGGGATACTGTTTTGAACATTGAGAGTGTTGATGCTTCACCTATGGAGCATCCAGATTGGAACAGTCCCTTCAGGATTGGTACTTGAGAGACACATTGAGTCATCAGTAAAGAAAGATGATACTTGAATACATACAAGTAAATTATGAAGCTTAATAATTTTAGACACTAAATTTGATTTTATTCCATCCAGCTCTTCTAAGGTTTTTATTGTATGGGATGCTTTGTGGCAGGTTGGCTTTGTAAATTCCTCAAAAATCGAGGCAGTTGGGAATGGACAGTCTTCATATATAGCATAATATTGAATTTAAACATCTATGGATGTAAGCAGTATACCCTTTTCTCTGCAAAAGACTACACTAATTAAGGTAATCATTAATCTTTGTTTGCCTGGGACAATCCTGGTTTACCATGTTGTCCTGGCATAGCCATTAATAGTACCCCCTTTCACTCAAAGGTATTCCAGATTGGATAATGAGTTATATAATTACCCTGTCCATAGTAGAACCTGACTACCTTTACCTATAGATTTATTTATAGCTTGTCTACAAGGTATACTAGCTCTTCCTTCTCATCCAGCAAGACAGACTTTTTTGTTTTGAAATATAGATCTTCTCAACACAATACTTTTATCGTTTATTCACTTTATGTGATTATGTTCAAAATTTTTCTTCAAGGAAAATGCTGCTATTTGTGATGAAATTGCTCGTCTTGAGGAGAAATTTCTTAAAGCAAAAGAAGAAAGGAGGTGAGCTGGCTTAATTTGGTATTCAAAATCACATTTTTGGTGATTGATATGGTGTTATTGCTCTGGGGATTTTTCTCCAGTGGGATTTTTGTGCATTGCACAGCCCCTTGGCCACTTGATCAAGTACAGAGAAACTCACAACCTGTGGTAGTGGTTCCTACATACCTAAGTCATATTGGACTACAGTGATAAAACAGCTCCTCCACTCATCTTTCTAACAAAGCCCTCCTGCCACAGCTAAGAAATACTTTTATAGCTCCCCAATTATAAAAGTTAAGTAATAAAGAAATTGCCTCTCATTCTACAAATATTTATTCAGTATGTACTATTCTATGCAAAGTACAGTGGGTCTATGTACATTTTTAATTTATGATATATGCCCTTCAGAATCCTAACACCTTCCAACATTAAAGTAGATGAACCCTCCAGATGCAAGAGAAATAAGCAACGATCCTTATCCTTGGTTTCTTGAAATATTGATTATCCTCTGGGGCTTCACTATTCCCATGGTTTAGTAAGAACCTTATTTTTATGAGTATAATAATCTTTGTATATAATTCTAGCTCTCCTCAGTGCTTGAGTAAAATACTGAATTGAAACAATACAGAAGTTCATACATGTGCTCCCTTTCCTTCCTGACCTCAGGTACTTGCTAAAGAAGCTCCTCCAGCTTCAGGCTCTAACTGAAGGGGAAGTACAGGCTGCAGCTCCTTCCCACAGCTCCAGTTTGCCCCTGACTTATGGTGTGGCCAGCTCTGTGGGAACTATACAGGGAGCTGGGCCCATTTCTGGGCCCAGCACTGGGGCTGAGGAACCATTTGGGAAGAAATCCAAGAAGGAGAAAAAAGAAAAAGGCAAAGAGAACAACAAACTGGAAGGTACTTTGGAGACAATATCAGTTGCTCCAGTGACTCAGCTACTAATGACAGATGTGGTACAAAGTAGTAAACACACATAATCACAGATATACTTAAAGTCGTATCTGGTCCTTAAGGAGCCCTAATAGCCCTTGAGAAACAAGTGTCTTGTTAGAGCACTTTGGGTGGAGAAATTCTGGCTAGACTTGGTTAAATGTGAAGGGGGCAAACTGAGACCTCCTTCCTTCCCTTCTCCCAACACTCTGGGATGCATTCTGTTCAGTCTTTCCTAGAGGCAGGGAAATGGGCTGGGTGGCCTTTTGAGCACACTGCTGTCTTGGAACATTTCTGATCTTACACATGAAGAGGCCTTAAAACATGTAAGGCTTTTAGCTCCTAAGCACTTATATTAAGGTGGGTGGGTTAGATACTCAGGGCTTCGGGGAAAAGCCCCATGTGCCCATTCAATGAGTATGTAAACCCAGGATTGGCTTATTGCCCTTAACAGTCACATGTAAACTTTTCCCTTCCCCTCAACATTAGGAGGGGTCTAAAGTGGGTGACCCCAGATTTGCGTTTCAGTTCTGAAGAAAACATCCAAGAAAAAGAAAATGGAGGGAGGTGCTCGCAAGCTGGTTCAGCCCATTGCCCTGGATCCCTCAGGACGGCCTGTGTTCCCCATCGTACTAGAGGGTCTAACAGTATATAGCCTGGGGGAGGTGAGTGAGACCATATATAGAGAGAGGAGAACCAGAGAAATATGGGAATGGGGTTGAGCCTTCCCTCCCTGTTCCCATTAGCAACAGCCCCTTGCTGATCCATACCAACCTCAGAATGTCTCCAGTCCCTATGAAACCAGGTCAGTCGTGTCTGCTGCACAGCCTACTCTTTTCCTTTGTGTGATTTGAGTCGCTCTTTAGCCCCAAAGTGGTTCTAAAGGCTACCACAGTAAACTTTTAAATTCTTCACAGACAATCCCAAGTTGGGGGAATCTTTTTTATAGATCATCACCGACCGACCTGGCTTCCATGATGAAAGTGCCATCTACCCTGTGGGCTACTGCAGTACTCGAACATATGCCAGCATGAAGTGCCCAGACCAAAAGTGTCTCTATACCTGTCAGATCAAGGATGGTGGTGTGCAGCCTCAGGTACTGCTCTAATAATAACCACTATTTTTTTTGAGAACTTACTCTCTACTGCCAGGCACTTGAAGTGTATTACATGTTCTGACACCTTATATAATCACCATCTGAGTAACCCCAAGATGCAGAAAAGTGGCCCCAAGTCACATCTCTGCTAATGAGTTATTGAGCTGGGATGTGAATCTGCGTCTGTCTGATTCTCAGACCGATGTGCTTTCTTTCCCTTGAACCATGCTGTTTCTGCTGTCGATATTGTGACTGTGTGGCTTGATCAAGGCTTCTTATGTGAAATGCAGGCCCAAATACAGGGAAGATTAGTTTGATACTCTACCATTTCAGGATAAACCAAAATGGAGGTAGCAAAGAAATTGCATATTACTTTCTAGTTGCACATACTCTTAAGAACCTGGGAGTCCTGAACACTTGTCCTGTTACATACTTTTGTTCATCCTTCTCAGTGCTAAGATTCGAGACCATTCATTTTCTCCAACCATCACCTCTTGATGAAAAAATATGGCCATCGATTCACTTTTACAGCAATATACCATATTTATAATAAATCTATAAGTGCAGTGCAAATCTAATCAAAATCCTAATGAAATTGACAAGCTGATTCTTAATTTTTTCTGGAAAACAAAATGCTACATTTTTGAAAAATAATCTATGGACATTATCGTTAGGTATATTGTGAGCTAGGAATCTAGCTTCAATTTTTTTTTCAAATAACATAAAGTGGCTTTAGTTTATATACTAAATATTAATATATGTAATACTTGGATCTGTTTCCAGATGATTGTTTTATTGATCTGTTTGTCTATAAGTGCCAATATGACTTTTAATTATTTAGCTTTATAGAGCATTTTATACCATAAATATGTTAAAGCAAAATGTAGAAGAATTTTTTAATAACCTTAGGGTGAGGTGAAAAAGTTTTCTTTAGCAAGACATGAAACTTAGAAGCCATAGTAGAATATATTTTAGTATATGTACTGCCAAACCAAGCACCCATGGAATATAGTAACAGATTTGACAGTTTTAAACACTTCTAAATGACAAAAGACATAATGAGAGTTAAAGCTCAAGCAATAAATAGGAAATATATGCCAATGGATTAATATTCAAATAAAATGTGCCTATAGAGTAAGAAAAAGCAATCAGATAAAACAGGCATCTCACAGAAACAGCACAGGTGGTTGATAAGAGTAGACCTCACTAATAACTAAGGAAATGCAAGTAAAATAAAAAATGAGATCTGATTTTCCTCGTAGACAAATGGCAAGATTGATGATAACCTGCACTGGCCAGGGTCTAGGAAAACAAGTATACATTAGTAGGACTGAAAGTCGGTAGTCTTTTGGAAGGGCAATTTGGCAATATGAGCAATTATAATATGTTTATCCTTTGACCCAGAATATATCTAGGTAATCTAGTATTTCCTAGGAGAAATGTGCAAATGTACAAAGAATAACATATAACACTGTTCATTATCATTCTAAAAAATTATAAGAAAATAATTTAATCCTGTTCAGAATATTTGAGTAAACATTGAACAACTGAAAACTATTTAACTGGACTTTATAGAAAACTGGTCAAGGCATTTAATTGGCTAGATAGAACTTGTTACAAAAATATTTTCTTGGCAAAAATTCCTCAGGATTAATATAATTTTGATGCAATAGTTTCTTTTTATAAATACAGTCAAGATATTTTAACATTTAAAAATAAAATGAAATGGCAGTTTATAATCAAAATGCCCTGCTCTTCTCCTAGATACTATAATATAAACTTAAGATTTCATGGAAAATGATCTCATTTTTTAAAAAAATACTATTTGTATTTGTATTTAAGGATATAAGTCAGAGGCTAGGAAAGAGTCTGGAACGGTACATAACAAATTAAATGGTGACCTCTGGAGAGCAGTCAACCAAGAGAGTACAACTGAAATAGTCAAAGGACTTTCTCTGTTTATTTGGATTTGTTTAAATTTTTAATAGCACTATAGGAATATGCCCATCATCCAGGACGGTATACATCAGTTTCAAATTCCAGAGTGAAGAAATGTTTATAGGAGTGGTATGACTCTCCCTACCTCTTCTTTCTTGAGGATCCTCAATTGCTCCTTTATCTTTCTCAGTTTGAAATTGTTCCTGAAGATGACCCCCAGAATGCCATTGTCAGCTCTTCTGCAGATGCTTGTCATGCAGAACTGCTCAAGACCATAAGTGCTACTATGTAAGTTGACCAGCAACTTGAAGACAGGCTAAAAGGATCACAGGATCACCGTCAGTACAGTGAGACCTTTACTCTTGCTTTTAATGAGTGCAGATCCCTTATTTTATATAATAGAAACCTATCCTGAATCCTTCAGACATCTTAGCAACTAGAGTCTCTGCAGTATCAAAGTCAAGAAAGCTTATCCTGTGTGTTCATACCACTATTCCATTCTTAAACCCATCCTTATCTCCTTCTAAGCTCTTAAACTAAAATTCTCCCTTACCTGTTTAGGGGAAAATCAATGCCTAACCTGCTTCCAACTGGAGCTGACTTCTTCGGGTTTTCTCATCCAACCATCCACAACCTGATCCAAAGTTGTCCAGGAGCTCGAAAATGCAACAAGTAAGTGTGGTGGTCAAGTCCATTCCCTTGAGAGAAGCTCAGTGATCAGCCAGCCAGGGACCTAAACTGCCAGTTACTGCTCTGTTCATCCATACATTTATTGAGCTTCTATGTCCAAAGCATGCTTGCTTCTCGATCAGTGTGCCTCAGTATTGGGCCTCTCAGCCCTCAGACAGGTGAGCAGGAGCTAGTACTCCACTGCACCATATTACCATTTTCTGTGTGTACCATGACAGCAAAAGGAATGGGAAGTCTAGCAGAATAATGTGTCACCAAAGAGGCCTATTTCTTTTATGTGTTTCATGAGCTAATATGTTTTTTTAGATATATATATGGGAGAGATCTAAAGAAAAAATACCTGATCCCTTTGGAGATAGGAGTGGGTTATTATGGCTAGCAGACAACTCTAGAGATGATGATTCCCTTTGCTCCCACAGTTACCAGTGGGTGAAATTTGATGTGTGCAAACCTGGAGATGGGCAGCTACCACAGGGACTGCCAGAGAATGATGCATCTATGAGCTTTGAAGCCTTTCAGCAACAGACCTTTGATGATCATAGTGATCCCATTCTGCCAGGTATCTTTTAACTTTACCTTTCTGGTTTGAAAATTGACCATTTTTAATCTACCATCCCCTCTTCACACATAGCTGAGTGCCCCAAATATCCAGGCAATAAGTAGTATAAGCTTTCACTGATCCAGCCGGGGAGAGTGCTGAGTCATAGGGGGACCTGCAGCCTGCCTAGCTTCCTAGATTACTCACAGAAGTCACCGGGAGCACATGCAATCAGGGAGGCAGGGCACCCTGAGAAGCCTGAGCAGAATACCAGGGGAAGGTTTACTGTGCAGGGAATAGAATTTCAAGTGAAGTCAAGGGGTCAGGTCATGGCCTTGCCCCTGTGGTCCATGGATTCCCTCCTACAAATGTGTGGAGTAGTCCAGGGGTTCAGGCATTGGGGTCATGTAGAGAAAATGGGGATGGAAATTAAAAAATGGAATTAAAATTCTCTTTTGCCTAATATACTAATATAACCCCTAGGCAAGCCACTTAATCTGTTTTAGGCATTGTAAAAGTAAATATCTGTCCTAAAGAAAGACAAAATTGGGCTGACACACACAAGGATATTAAGGAATTGATTGAAAGGACATATATGTGTCTAACCAAAACAGTCTCCTGAGATTCCCAGGCAGCAGTGGAACTTATGGAATTGTTTTCTCTAGGATCCTTGGATCTTCCAGAGCTTCAGCCTGCAGCCTTTGTGTCTTCTTACCAGCCCGAGTTCCTGACACATGAACCCTTGGTAGACACTCACCTGCAGCACTTGAAGTCCCCGTCGCAGTGTAGCCCAATTCAATCTTCAGATTGAACAAGAAGGGATCAGATACCATATATTTTCATCATGATGATTTTTTTAATTTAAACTAAAATTTAGAATATATGGAAGAAGGCAGCAATTCAGGAGTAAAGAAGATATTAAATTAACACATTTCATCATGGAGGTTCCCATGGTGAAAGTTTACCCTGGAAAAAACTTCAGCTGCTTTATTTTTAGTAATAAATTTCTCTTTACAATTCTGCTTATTTTCATCTTGTTGTAATCAGGATGTAATCTTTGCTTAGCTCTGCCTGAGAAAGAGTAAACTTCAGTCCCTTATAAACCACAATAAGATGGACCCGTTGTCTTAGTCCATTTGGGCTGCTGTAACAAAACACCATAGACTAGGTAGCTTATAAACAAAACGAATTTATTTCTCACATTTCTGGAGGCTGGAAAGTCCAAATTCAAGGTGCCAGCAGACACGGTGTCTGATGACGGCCCAATTCATAGTTCATAGCTGTCTTCACATTGTATCCCCACATAGTGGAAGGGGCAAAGGAGTTCTCTGAGGTCCTTTTTATAAGAGCACTAATCCCATTGATGGGGGCTCTGCCCTCATGACCTAATCACCTCCCAAAAGTCCCACCTCCTAATACCATCACATTGGGGGTTAGGATTTAACTTAACAAACTTTGCAGGGACACAGACATTAAGTCTATAGCAGCTGCTGACAGTAAAATTCTGACAAACTTCTGATCTTGATTCTGATCCTAGTTCAAGGAATATCAAAGCCCAGCCCCTGCAGCCCAGGCTGCTGCTTTATTTTCATGTTAATATCATCAAAACCAAATCTGCTTGCAATCAGGCTGGAAAGTCCAGTCTAGAGTATCATTCATCTTATTCTTCATATTTTCCACATCTTTCAGGAGGATCAAAAAGTCCTCTTTAATCCTGTCTATCCTCCCTGTGTTCCTTATTGGGGAATGTGCTTTTAGCTTGTTAGGTTGAAACCATACGATAACATAAATTCAGGTATAACATAATGGGGATTAGTTCTCATCCTCCATAACAGACTCATTCCTGTCATTTCATTAACAGTGTAACAAGATAACTCCATGTTCAACACAACTGAATTTTTTGGACCCTGTTTATAGCATTATGGTGGAGGTTTACTGCATCACTTAATCACAGTCAGTACAACTCCACACTATCTTGTGGGATGCTACCCATGCAACAGGGACCCAGGGCTGGCTGGAATGGGAGGGGATGAAAAGACCAGAAGTAGAAGAATCGGGAAGGGCTGGTGATGGTGAGAATTGAATTGTTAGTGTGCTACCACTCAACTGCCAACACATTTTATAGTAGTAAATCTGACCAGCAAAGGAGGGGATCAGAGTTTAGAGCACACACACTGGCCACTGTAAACTCAGAAACTATAATAAGTTAACTGGTGTTAGTTTTTGAGTCTAAGTTTAGTTTTTTGATAAGTTTGGATAACTTTTATAATGTAAAAGAAACAATCTAATAAAATTTGGACAAAGCAAGCCAAGGGTGGGAAAGGGATTACTCAAACTGTTAATGTTTTAATGTTTTTCTTTTTTCTCTGCAGAAGTTGCTTGACCATATTTGCACTTATAAGGAAATGATGTATGCTGCTTTTGTCATATAACAAATATTTTTATGTGCTACTCAGTTTAGAAAGACATTTAAATTTTTTTAATAAATTAGTGTAAGTTTCCTAGAACTGTTTTTCAAACTAAAAACTCATTAGTTGTTCATAAACTTAGTGAGTCAAGACCTGCATCTTTTAAAATTCAAACATGTCAGAATGTATCACATGGAGAAAGGTTGAAACTGGTTTCAACTATAGTGTGCATACATGTATTTATATAAATAGACATACACATATGGGGAATACATGAGATAATGCAAAATGTCTTTACTTAGGATCATGGTTTTAAACTTGAAAAGTACTACCCTGGTATATTTAAAATATCTTTTCATCAGATTGTTAAAGATTTTCTAAATTTGAGAACATCCAGTGTCAATGAGGTTGAAGGAAAAATGGGACTTATACCCTCGTGAGAATGTAATTTGTTTAATCCTTTGGAAGGGTTAAGCTGTAGGTATCAAAATTTTAAATATATATTTATCCTTTAACCTATTAATCCTTGTTAAGAACCCTAAGAAATAACTGGAAGTGTGATATGATGTTTGCATGAAATATTCATTACAGTATTAGTTTAATAGTGGAACTTTGTTAAATGTCCATTAACAAGAAATTCATTAAATAAAGTATGGGACTTCCAGACTGAAACACTCTAAATCTGTATTCTGTTTACACAGGAAAATTATTTTAGTAAAACAAGTCAAAAACAGATTACATACTATATAGTGTTAAAATTATATAACCCAAACAAATTAAGTGAGCATTCACCAAAATAGTGTTTCTCCTTGAATGATGAATTTGGGGATGATTATTACTTGCTCTTATACTTTTCTTTAATGTCCAGATTTTCTACAGTGATTATAAATTTCATTTTCAAAGAGGAAAAAGTTCTTTTCATTTTGGGAAATACACCAAATTCCCACAGAATGTTTTATTCAACCACTAAAAATAAATTTACACATGACTTCTTTAATATATCCACTACATAAACCAAATTTTTTTACACTGTGTAACTGAATAAGTTACTGAAGGTGAAAGGAACCTGGCTTTCGAGTTCCTGGCTACCTCTAGCTGCCTCCAAATTATTAATAGAACATGGGTATATGTGTATCAGGGGTGGAGAAGTGGACAGATTTACTTTTTCTCAGGAGTTACTAGGTTTGTGGTTCTCACGGGGCCAGAAGCATGAGAGGTCCAAGTATGAATGGTTAGGAGTTAACTATATGCTTAGGAAGTGCTCAGAGGGGCCAATGTTCCTTGCAGAGTGCATAGTGTTTTTTTGTTTGTTTTTTGTTTTTTAACTAAATAAAATCTTGACACTGACAAAGCTATTCCTGTTGTTTGGAGCTACACCCCAACCTCTTGGAAGACAGATGTGGAGTAAGTGATGCTTAGTGCTTTAGTACTCATTTTTTACATTAAGGAATGAAAACTACCCATAGGGAACATTTTTATTCCTTTTCCATACTTTAATGAAAACTTACAGGTTTGTTCCTAACCAAATTTTGCCTGCATATAAATATATACACATCACTAATGATTATATTTTATTTCCAACTTTTAATAATACAATTTTCAAATGCCATTAACTGTTTTTAATCAACCAATAAACCACATTAAGCTTCTTAACAGTACACACAAAAGGCCTCTTTCCCAATTGTCGCATCTGCATTATTGTACTATATGCTTACCATGTAGCTTTACTTTCAGCCTCATTTTTTTCTTCCTTCTGGATTATCCTCAGTTGAGCCTTTTACCTTTACAGAGCCTGGGATTTGTATTAACTTGAATGACCCATTTGCCTCTGTTACCTCTACTTTCGTGTTTTCCTAAGCCTGTGTTTCCCCACCCATTCTGTTCCTTGCAACCTGAGTGCCTTCCCTGGGCTACTACCACCTGGCCCTTTCTTTTCATTCCTTAAGGCACTCCCTTAGCACCTCTCAAAATGCCTGCACATCGTTCTGGTTTGTTTAAATATTCACATTATCAATATTTGAAGGAACAATCATTTCTGGCTTAAAGAGAATACAAATAGGTCTATGTTCAATTAATTTGATAGACTGTCATGTAGTAGTAAAGTTTCATGAGAGAAAGATTTCAATTCCACATAAGGGAAAACTGTTAGAAAGTTTAGAATGGCAACTTCATACAGATTCAATAACCACTTGTGAGAGATTTTGTAAAGAACACATAAGCATTACCTGATCCCTGTGGCCTTTAAAATCTCTTTCAACCCTGAGATCCCGCAAAAGGGCAAAAGTGTTAGACATTTCACTCCCAATAAATAGGAGGGAAGTAAAAGACACTTTGTTCAGAATTAGTCCAATACAGACCCTTAGACAAACTAGGGGACGAGAGGCAAGCGTTCCAAGTTACCTACGAGGCCTAGTGCCTCAGAATATAGGAACAGCATGTGGTAGCTGGAAGCTGTTCAATGAGGTCTTCTGTTCATTTCCTTTAAAAGCAACAGTTGTTATCATTTAAACTCCTAAATGCCAAAATCTAAAGGACACACCCTTATATCTAAATTCTAATCATACTGCAGCTGTCATTTGCAGCCTCGCTCTAATGTGCAGGAACCTGGTCTCTGATGAAAGCAAAGAAGGGAGGAGCTGGCAGGGTACTGTCAGGGTCATATAGGGGACACTGCTTATATTCACAAGGCCAGGTGATCCAGGCATAGCGCAGAGCAACCACAGTGCCATGACAAGAATTGATCGATAGGTTCAGGGTCTGGGTGGAGAAAGTGTTCATGGGAGCTGGAAGCCACTTGCATTGATGGTCACTGCAACATGAGATCTAATGAGAGAGTCATAAAATGGAATGGTCAGGTCAATTAGAACGGTGTCCCAAGAAACTGGGAATTGCTCTTTGAAACAAACTAGATGAGAGGGAAGGAGCCACTCTCAGCCAAGGACGAACTTTAGCCAGAACAAACCTGAGTCCAGGTTGGGTCTAGTCAATACAGCATAATACATGTTGATGTGATTAAATAAATAATTTAAATCAGTGAGTGAAACATTAACTTACTGAGAGAGACAAGGAAGCATAATCATATAAAGCATTTAGAGAAGTCTCCCCCTGAGCATTCTTCCAGTGATCTCTCCTGCCACATGGCAAGGCAGGCAGGAATGTGAGCAAATAGAGAAGCCCAGCTGCTGTCATTTCTCTCTGGACTCCCAAAGGAGCTACAGAACGAAGAAGTGGCACAAAGGAACTTTAGATATGAAGCCTCTCTCACTCAGGTCAGAAGGCAATCCAGAAAAGAGAACATAAATTATCCAGAACCCAAATGTTAAATTCTGTCCTGACCCCATCTATGATCCGGGGCCAGATGGTGGACAGACTGCCAGCAACTGACTAGGGGAGAGAACTCAGAAGGCAGAGTCTTCTGGGAGTCTCTAAATTCACCTAAAACCCCATGTGGAAAGAAGCTAAGTGGGGTATGCACTGAGCAGGGCAGGTGGATATTGTTGTTAGGATTCCAGAAGCAACAGCCCTAGATAAACTTGTAATTAAAGTTTGTCTTTAATACTCTTTCATCTTCAATGCACTCTTTTCACACACACACTCCCAGCCTAAGGTCTCATGATTCCCAGAGACACTCATTCAAATGTTCCATTTAGGAAAGCCTCCACTGTCAACAATAGAAGACTCCTGAATAACCTCTTTAATCAACAGTCTCAATTCCAAAGCAGAACGATCCTTGCTGGGTATTAAAAGAAAGCAGTCTCATTACAATAATTCACACTAGCCGGGCGTGGTGGCTCACGCCTGTAATCCTAGCTCTCTGGGAGGCTGAGGCAGGTGGATTGCTCAAGGTCAGGAGTTCAAAACCAGCCTGAGCAAGAGCAAGACCCTGTCTCTACTATAAATAGAAAGAAATTAATTGGCCAACTAATATATATATAGAGAAAAAATTAGCCGGGCATGGTGGCGCATGCCTGTAGTCCCAGCTACGCGGGAAGCTGAGGCAGGAGGATTGCTTGAGCCCAGGAGTTTGAGGTTGCTGTGAGCTAGGCTGACGCCACGGCACTCACTCTAGCCTGGGCAACAGAGTGAGACTCTGTCTCAAAAAAAAAAAAAAAATTATTCACACTAAGTTACAAACCACTAAGTTAAGCCTCTCCAGTGAGAATGAAACTCAAAGGATGTCAGAATTTAGGACAGTCTAACAAAAAAGACACCCAAGGATGAGGTATTAATAAATAAGGCCGGGTGCAGTGGCCCATGCCTGTAATCCTAGCACTCTGGGAGGCTGACGCAGGAGGATTGCTCAAGGTCAGGAGTTTGAAACCAGCCTGAGTAAGAGCAAGACCCCGTCTCTACTAAAAAAAAAAAAATAGAAATTAATTGGCCAGCTAAAAATATATAGAAAAAATTAGCCGGGCATGGTGGTGCATGCCTGTAGTCCCAGCTACTTGGGAGGATGAGGCAGAAGGATCGCTTGAGCCCAGGAGTTTGAGGTTGCTGTGAGCTAGGCTGACGCCACGGCACTCTAGCCCAGGCAACAGAGCCAGACTCTGTCTCATAAATAAATAAATAAATAAATAAATAAATAAATAAATAAATAAATAAATAAATAAAAATTACTCAGGAGCAAGGATCTTCAATGGGTAACCTGCAAATAAAGCCACAGGCCCCACCACATATACTCACCAGCAAACTGGTATTAACTGAGTAGCACCTAAGTGGACACATAGGTACTACAGTAATAGGGTATTGGGGAGGGGGGAGGGGAGAAGAGGGTGGGTATATACATACATAATGAGTGACATGTGCACCATCTGAGGGATAGTCATGCTGGAAAATCAGACTTGTGGGGGGAGGGGGGAAAGGGCATTTATTGAAACCTTAAAATCTGTACCCCCATAATATGCCGAAATTAAAAAAAAAAAAAAAAAGCCACAGGCCCTTCCCCTGAGCAAAGGCAGCTGCTCTAGGAGAGAAAATCAAAAACGAGTATCATTTTTGATACGAGTACCATTTTAACATGGACTTGTTTTCCCTTACTTGTCTATCGAAATTGCCTCTAAGCTAATGAATTAATAGCTGCATCTGTGCCCCTCTGAGATAACTCAGCTCCCCACCAACCAAGACCTGCTTCATCCCCACACTACAACGAAAGAGACGGGCCTCGTGTGGAGGAAATCCTGCTCCCAGCACAGGATGATCACCTATTTTTCTGCCATTCTCACCTCAAATATCTTGTTGTCCTGCTTCTGCACTTGGATTTGCTGGGCATATGTGAGGCTGAGCAACCCCTTGTGAGGCGAGAGCTCGATCTTCTCAGGCAGTGGTCCTTGAAAGGTCACACTCTTCTCGCCATAAGCCACAGCACGGGCCCCCAAGTGCAGCCGATAGGCCACGGTATTTTTATCTCGAGGGTGGATGCTACAGGATAGAGAACAAGTAGAGAACTTTGGATTTGAGCTCAGCAATAACAATTAAAAAATATATATATACAAAGCACTCTTTAAGAAGGTATAAATAAAGCTGACTGAGTTCCATGATCAGAGCTAGTCAGCTTAAGAGAATGGTGAATGGTAACCAAAGATGGGGCTCTGAGCCTTCTATAGGTTGGAAACCATGAAACGATAGAAGGCCTGGAAAGAAGGAATAAAGGGAGGGATGGAAAGAGGGAGGAGAGCAAAGAGGAGGGAGGAAAGGCCTTAGAAATAACTTAGGAGAGCTAACTCATAAGACTATTCCCAACCACTGAAAGTCAGGTTTCATCTCAACCAGCTGCTCATTATTTGGTCCCCTCCAGCTCTTATTTGTTCATTCAATAAGTATTTTCAAGTTCCTACTATAATCCAGACATTGTGTGTTGGGTTCCATTCCATATTTGAAATCCCCTCCAATCCTACAGTTAGTGTATGGTATTCATTGGGGCAGTTCACCAGTATTCCAATACTCACTCCTTGCGTCCATGCTAGAATTCCATTTCCTGCTCTCACTGTAGCTAACCATGGCCATATGACTTGGTCCAGCCAGTGCAATGTGAACAAAAATGATTTGTGTTACTTCCAAACAGAAGCATTTAACTGCTAGTATGAATGTGTAAGGTGAATGGAAGGGCAGACCAACTTGGAGCCTCTCTTGCTCTGGTCTGTGAACAATTACAGTGAGTAAAGATCTGTTGATCTTCTTTGGACATGTAGTGTGAGTGAGGAATAAATTTTTGTTGCCTAAAGGAACTGAGATGCTGAAGGGTTTTGTTGTTGTTCTTGCAGCATATCCCTACACAAATGATTGCTATATAGTGCTTCTAAGCTCCAATCCTTCATCCAATCTCCCTCCTCACAAGTGGACACCAGTGTGAAGGACTATGGACAAAGAACATACATGGTTCATGCAAAGCCCAAGAAGCAACCATACCTGCCAAATGGCGAGTCCTTATCACACAGATCCATAGCTACGGCCATAAAAGTGTTGGGCATCTTTACGTTGGGGACATAGCCAAAGTCTGCTGTTTGATGCCAACGGATCTGGGGAAATCCATCCTCTGAGTTGTCCTTAGACAAAACTGAAGATAACTAGAAAGCAGAGACATTGTTGCTTTTATTGCATCAAAGCCATACACTGGAGTCTCTTTCACTGGCAGATTCTGCTTCAGCTCTTCGCATTGGTTCAAATGCTCATTCAACAAGATTTTACTGAGCTTCTTACTGCTGGGAGAGGGATGCAACAATCCCTTTCATCCCACATGCTCTTTTACAATGCAGCTTTGCCACCACTCATCAAGTGGAGAAGTCCATCTCTCCTGCCACTGAATCTGGGCTAGCCCTGTGATTTGCTCTGATCAAAGGAATACAGCAGAAGTAATGTGTGGCTTTTGTCTTGAGGGCCCTTGCCTTCTGATTTCATTCTCTTGGAACCCTGACCAGGTCATGTAAAACTAGTCCATTTCCCTACTAGAGAGATTATGCAGAGGGAAGGGCCTTAGAAATTGAAAGATCATATAGAAAGAGAGGCTCTAGCATTCCAGCAATCCCAGCTGAGGGGCCAGTCATGGGAATTCTAGAACCTCCATTTCAAACTGCAGCCACGTAAGCAAGCCCAGCTGATATCACATGGTGCAGAGATGAGCCATCCAGTTGAGCCCTGCCTGGTCAACCCAAGGAATCAGAAGCAAAAAGAATGGCTAATGTTTTAAGCCACTAAATTTGGGGGTAGCTTGTTACAGAACAGTAAGTACCCGATACAACACAGGGTTAGGCACCATAGGGACACAGAAGACTCTGCCCTTGAACATGTGGTAAATTGCACCAAAGACCCCAGTTCTTCACTCCTTCCTATATCCACACCCACTTGCCATGTGGCTTTGTAGTTCCTGCCATTAGGAAAAAGAGTGTATTTCCACACCCCTTGATTCTGAGTTCAGCCATGCAGTTTGTTTTGGCCAATAGATGGAAGCAGAGATTATGGTGTGTCAATTCCCAGCCTAGGCCTCAAGAGACCCTGCATGGTTCCACTTGCTTGTTTGCACTTCTGCTATCACCATGAGAAGGTGAGCTAGCCTGCTGCTCTCTGGAGAAGGAAAAGAGCCATGGAACAGAGCTGCCCTGTTTAATCCACTCCAGCCAAGCAGAGCGCCTCTCTGGCTCAGAGAGAGGTGAAGCCCTGTGGAGCTTAGCCAAATCACCCAACCTCCAGCTCCCGAGACGTGAGCACTATAATAAAGGTTGTTTTAACTCATGAAGTTTTGAGGTGGCTACTACATAGCAGCAGCTAATTGGTGCAAGTACTTTACAGCTTTGATGGGGAACAAACTTGCGCGTAAGAAATGTTCATAAACACCATTATGAAATAGTATGGAATAACTGCTAAACTGGTGGCACAGATAACAAGTGCTATACATTTATAACAGGCAATGATTATTATAAGGAAACATGGCCTCAGAATACGTTAAAGAAAATTACAAACAGTAATGCTCATAATTCACGTGTTAGAACCTTCTAAGATGCAAAGGCAGGAAGGAGAATGGCTGTCTTGAGAAGTAGCACAATGTAGCTGGACTGGAGGATTTGTGTAGGAAAGACAAGCTTGGAAAGATAGTGAGGCAAGTGATAGGGTTTATACTTAATTCTGTGAGCAATAAAGAACCACTGTAGAGTGATGGTTGTACAACTTTGTGAATGTACTAAAATGCCACTGAACTGAACTCTTTAAAATGGTTTATTTTATTTTATATGAATTCCATCTCAATTAAATAATTACAGAGTCATTGAAATTATTGACATGATAAAAGGACCAACTCAGTAGATTAATCTAGTGATCATACAAATGGCTCTGGCAAAAAAAAAAAAAAAGAACTTACAGCAGAGAGACTGATTAGTTAAGCAGCTATTATAATAGTCTAGACAGACAAGCCTAATCTAGAAGAAGAGTAGAAGGAATGGGATTGCCAGAAATAAGACAAATTCCCAGAACCACACAACCAACTGGATATGGGGCAGAAGAGAAAGGATAAACTCCATCACTCCATCAACATCTGAACTATCTGCTTGGAATCTAGGGCAGCCAAGTACTGCCAGAATATTTGGGAAGTAATATTGCTCCAGAAAAAGCCTGTGAATGAACAGCAGCTCATGTAGTATCAGTCAGCTCATGTATTCATTCATTCTTTTAATAAATATTTACTGAGCATCTACTCTGTGGAGGCCCAGGAGAGAGAGCAGTGAACAAAACACAAGAATCCCTTTCCATGCTTACATTCTAATCAGAAGAGATAACCAATAAACACAGAAATAAGTAAACCACATATTCTATGAGGAGGAGGTGGTAAGTGCATTGGAGAAAGAGATAGAAGGGAAGGAGAAGAGTGTCAGGGTTGAACAAAGACTAGAAGGAGGTGAGAGAGAAGCTATCAGGATACTTGGGTGTGGTAGGCAGAATTCTAAGATGACCTGCAGTGACCCATGCCCTTACATAATACTCTCCCCTTTGAGGGGGACCTGTAACTCGCTTCTAACCAATAGGGTAAGGCAAATGTAATGGGATATCACTCCCATGATTATGTTCTGTCACATGGCAAAGGTGGAGGGATTTTGCAGATGTAAATAAGGCCCCTAGCCAACTGACTTCAAGATCACCAAAAGGGAGAATACCGTGGTGAGCCTGATCTAGTCAGGGGAATCCTTCCAAAGAGGCTCCAGAAGCCACAGACTCTCTCGTGATGACCCTCAAGAAGTAAGCTGCCATGAGTTCTATGGCTTTGAGGAAGTGAATTCTGCCAACAACCACCCGAGTTTGGAAGAGAACCCCAAGCCTCAGATGGGACCTCAGCTCTGTCTGACGCCTCCACTGCTGCCCTGCGCAGAGGACCCAGCTAAGGCTATGCATGCTGACTCCTTGCCCATAGAAACGGTGAGATCGTAAATGTGCATTCTATTGTTTTAAACTGCTAAATATGTAGTAATTTGTTATGCAGCAATAGAAAACTAACACAGTGAGGAAAGAACTTTCCAGGCAGAATGGACAAGAAAATGGCAGGCCCTAGGGTGGCAGTGTGCCCTGTGTGCTTAAAGAAAAGGCAGCTGGTGTGGCTGAGGTGGAGTAAGCAAGGCAGAGAGAATCAGGAGATCAGGGCACGATTAAATGGAAGCGGGGGACAGATCATTTACGGCCTTACTGACTCCAGTCATGGGGGGTTACTAGAGCCTTCTGATCACTTTGATATGTTGAGAATATCCTAAAGGAGAAAAGGCAGGCACAGGAAGGAAGACCAGTTAGGAGGCAAGAGTTCAGGGAAGAGATGATGGTGGCTTAAACTAGTACAGAAGCAGTAACAGTAATGAGAAATGGTCAGGTTCTGAATGCAGAGTGAGTTAACAGGATTTGTTTTCATCTAAACTGACAGTTGATATACTCCTACTCTGGAACGGACAGAGGCTCCCAGAAAAATTCTTCACTATTACTATGATGCATGCATTCCCACTGCTTCTTCCTTCCTTTTCTGATGTTTACATCACCCTGTCCCTTGATTTACATAGTATATTATTCTTAGCCCTAGTTCCAGCCAGTGAGAGGCATCAACCTATTATCTCTCTTTTACAAATCATGAGCTAACTGTAAGTCAAACCACAAACCAGAAAAGAGTCTAGGCCAGCAACTACATTGTCTTTTGCCTCAATTTCAAAATATCTGACCCTATCAGAGGACTGTGTTATAAACGGACCCTTCCACCCAGTCTTATTACTCACACCGCCCAGAAAATACCTGACATCATCCCTACAATGTGGCCAAATAAAGCTTTGAGGATGTTTTCTGCTTCCTGAGTTGCTCCAGAAAGACTAGAAAACCATCAGGAAAACATGGGGAAAGGATGCAATAGAAGCAGAAAGGAGCCTTGGATGTGATTATGGAACTAAGGGAACATTTCCAACTTTCTTATTAAAATTCTTATGCAAATGAGCTTTAACATAGGAAATGGTATTTAATAAAATGTGCTGCTGAAGCTTCACAATGGAATCTCATGAAAACTAGAAAATGGGAATAAAAAAAATCCAATGTTCTCTCTACTTCTTCCACATAACTCCCAAAAGACCAAAAGTGGAACTGCATGCACCAGCCAGTGTCATGATGCAGATCACAGCAACAAAGCCACTGGAAAGAGTCTACGGTAAGAACTAACCTGAGGCTCAACAGGGAAAAATGCTAATAACAGCCCCTCAAGCCAAAGGAGTTTACTCAAAACAGAGGAATTTGCTGAGAATTGCTGCAGCAAAGCCTCCACTATTTCATTGACTGCACTTCCAAACACTAGCCACATGAGGGCACCAGCATACCCAAATGAAATTTCTGTGTTTTTCCTAATCTGAGATGTAGTGGGGCACTACTCAGTCTTCCACAGTGATGAGCAGAAATACTGAGGCTGATACAGGCATAGACTAGCCAGAGAACATAAAACTGGCCACATTCAGAGAATTTTACAATTAACATACTGCAGTTTAGCGTCTGTTCCACTGTTCCTCCAAACCCCTTTTTAAAAAGCATACTCTTAAGGACTCCAGTCCCTAGCCTCCTGCTCTTTTTTTCCCAGGCTTCAGGTCGCCTCTCTACTATAACTCTCTGGTAGACATGTCTAGCCCTGGTCTCTCCTCCGAGTTCGATTCCTACATCTCTAACTGCACTCTAGTTATTGCAACCATCATTTCTAACTCAACACTTCTATAAAGCCAATTCATCATTCCTTACAAACCAGCTGTCCCTCCAGATTTTCTGACTTCCCTCATTAATAATGAAAACCACTAACATTATCCAGCATGTGCCAAGCTTTGCTGGATTAACTCATTCAATACTTAAAATAACATAGAGGTTCAATAGCTTGTTCAAAATTGTGTAGCTTAAGAATTGTCAGAGCTGGAATTTGAACCCAAGCAGTCTAGCTACAGACCTATGATCTGAACCATTATGTTGTTATATTTGATATTTCCCTTTGAAGTTATATATTTATATTTCCAGTTTTCCACAAGTAACCAACATATGTTTGTTGGCAATGGTCAAGTTAAAGCCTGGAGGTTAAAGGTCTTCCACTAAACTGTAAGGCATAAGTGCAAGAGCAGGTCTCTCTCATGCATGCTACATTTCTAGCACCTCACAAGGTTTGCAGCATATATAAGAATAAGCAATCAACACATACTATGTTTGAACTGGCTGAAGTCACATTAAAATCAACATGTACACAGACTAAGAGAGAAAAAAATTCCTCCAAAGTCCATGTGTAGTTTTCACCAACAGTAATACAGAACTGGTGACAGGAGCTGCTATTTTGAAAATAATGAGCAGAATAATCTTGTTTCAAAGTCAAAACAAATGTAGGAAAAAAGGAAAAAAATGATCATAACGGCATTTTAAATGGAAAGAAGGTCTATGGAAATCTTTACTGAAAAAAGTGTATGGTGAAACAGAACGAGGTAGAGGAGATGGGAGGATGGGGAGAAGGCAGGATCTGTGAGAGACGTGGGGACAGATGTCTGGAACTATGTGTGTCCCATTCTAACGGCAGGGCCTGCTCTGTTATGATGTTGTGGGTTGGGCCTTGTTTTTATAACACCTTACTTATTTAATTTCCTATGTTCTAGAAAAGCCAGAACTACCACTCTGCTAAAAAGTCTAAGACTTGGCAAGGTCAATGGACACGTGGATCAAGGCAATTATGACACTGGCCAAATGTGTTTATTCTTTTTATGCAAGGCTGAAAGCAGAATCTGACTAGTTATCAGAATCTTTCTGACTCGTTATCTCTAATTATAAGTCTGGTTTCTCTTGATATATTTGTTCATTCGTGTGTTAAGCCATTATTTAATAAATGCTGACAAACTATGTACTAGGGATTTAAGTGTGATCCAGGAAAATATGGTCACGTGTGCAACCTACATGCAAGTAAAAAGAGGAAGTAGAGGGTGTTAAGAAAGCACATCATCTGGCTGCTTTCTTATCCAGAAAGGGGGCATTAACCAAGACTTCAGATAGTCACAGAAGGTTTCCTAACTGTTATTCAGGCTGAGATCTAAAGGATGATCATAAGTTAGCCAGGAAAGTATGGGAAAGTTAGAATATGTGCAACGGCCTGGGAGTGAGAAAGCACGGTGCATCCTGGGGGGTGGGCAGGAGGACACTAATTAGGGAAGTTGAGGGGAAGTGGACTTTCTCATGGAAAGTTGCTAAGCGTAAAAATTTACACAAATTCATAAATTTCTACAGAGAAATTTGGGGACATGTTCAAAGCCTTATAAAGGTATGCCTTTTGACCTAGCTATTTCATTTCTGGGAAATTATCTTATGGAAATAATTAAGTGTGCAATGATTTAGCAATAAAGAAAATAAACATGCCAATGTTTATAAAAGCAAAATGTTTAAAACAACCTAAGTGCCCATCTATTGAAAACTAGTTAAATAAATCACAATGCAACCATATGTCTGAATATTCTGCAATTGTTACAAATTATATTGAAGATTAATATTTACTGACATGAAAAAATGTTCACAATATGACTTTAAGAGAAAGAAACAAAATCTGTACAGATCCTATTTCAAAAATACATGAGCAGGTGCTAATTTCTGGACTGTAGAATTATCAATGTTGTTAGCTTCTTTTTTGCTTACCTTTTTAATATTTCTTCAATAAATCTATAATGCTTTTTTAATAGAAAGAAATATTACTTAACTTTGTTAAAAAATTTGATTGTCTCATCAATGAACTGAGTTGAATCAAGCTTTACATTCAGTTCCTGACCAACACACAATGAGGGCAAAAGAAGGAACATGAATTCCAGGAAAGAGCTCTAGAGAGCACATCCCCACACCGATTCCCATGAACCCTCTTCCCCCTCAACACAGGAACAGGCACTGGCATGAACAGGAAAGCCCTTGCCCAATCGCACCTGCACAAATCCAAATGGGAAGAAACGCTCTGTTTGCCCCAGGGAGCCGAGGTGGAAGGTCTGGCGCCAGTCATCGATGAGCGCAGGGAACGTGCAATTGTACAGGTCTGTGTTATAACGTGTATTGGACTCCCCTAAAAACAGTCAAAATTCTGAGAGGAGTTTGAGGTAGACTACAACATTACTCCCTTCCCTCTATCCATGCCCCGAGTTAGCAGCCTTCCCGCACTCTCTCAGGACTGGCCTTGTCACTTGCTCTGGCCAATGGGGCATTAGCAAACATGATGCAGGCAGAGGCTTGAAAGCACTTCAGCTTTGAGTTTTGCTCTCTCGTGATGCATCTGGAACCCTGAGACTACTATGTAAATAAAAAACAATTCTGAACTAGCTTGCTGAAGGATGAGAGGCCACCTGACAACCGTGGTGCCCCAACAGACAGCCCCCAGTACACAGATATGAGGGCAAGCCCATCTTAGATCATCCAGCCACCAGCCAACCGGCCAGGTGGCCAGAGATATATAGGAGACTCCAGGAGAAATTAGTTGAAGCAGCCCAGGTGAAAAACAACCCTGCTAACCCAAAGAGTTGTGAGCTAAATAAAATTATATTATTGTTGTTTTAAGCCACTAAGTTCTAGGTGGTTTGTTATACAACAAAAGCTGACTGATGCCATGGAGAATCAGCAAACGGAACACTCACCCTGGTACCATACCACCCCTTTCAGAGTCATAGTATGCAGCGGGTGGATCATGGCGTTCCAGAGAACAGAGTACTTGCTGGGACCAGTCACAGAATCATATGGAATGGACCTGAAATCAATAAGATGCACAAGTGTCACCAGACAGCTAGTGATTGATCACATGATGATCCCTAAGTTGGACTTCGTCCACTTTCAGTTGGAGCAAACTTCTGACAAAAACAACACAAAATTAAGTTGCACCGGAACTCTGTTTCACTTGAAAGCATGTGAATAGTCTCTCAATTTCACCTCCACATTCTCTCCAAGGTATGTGTCTCAGTCAGCTTTCTGTGAGTTCAGAAGGGGCCATCCCAGTTTCTGAACAAAGTCCTCAAAACCAGAGGGGAGGAGTGTTTTATTATGAGTCTCTCACATAGGCAATAAATTTATTTAACCTAGTACTCAGTGGATGGACATTTAGGTGATTTTAAACGTTTTGCTTTTATAAGCAATGTCATGATTATCTTCCTTATAACTAAATCACTGCATACATGCTTAATTATTTCCTTAAGATAAATTCCCAGAAATGAAATTGCTGGGTCAAAAGGAACACTTTTTTAAGGCTTTGAAAATGTCTTCAAATTTCTCTGTAGAATACTTACATGAATGTATCCTCCCAGCTGCTGAGTGTGAAAATGCCCACTTCCCAACACCCTTGGTATTATCCTTTCTAACCCCCAGGGACCTGGGAGGCCTGGCTTTAGATCCCCCTCTCTGACCACGTGCTGGGCCTGACCTCCCTCCTACTCTACCATAGGCAGTTCTTCCTGTTCCAAAGTTAAGTGTCTTCACTCCCCCGAAGGCAAACCTTTACCCAAACCACACCAAGAGTTCAAGTCTATCCTCCTCCAAGAGGTCTTCCCAGAGTGAATGAGACAATGTTGGTGAAAGCAGGTCACACATTGCTCATGTCTATGTTGATATTAGTATTGGGATTTTTCTTAACTAGCTCTTGCTCTCCCCAAGTATTCTTCCTGATCCAGCTTTTCCTAAGTGGGCTTTCACAGTTAGTACTCTAATATATTTCGTTAAGTATATGTTTATACGTTTGTTCTTCCTGCTAGACTATTTATTCTCCTATGCAATATAGCACAGTGTTTAGGAGCACAGACATTGAAGCCAGGCTTTGCCACTTGCTAGCTGTGTCCGTGCACCAGTTACTACACCTCCCTCTGAGACTTAATATCTTTGTCCATGGTGTGTCAATAGTCTCTACACATTAAGAGACTGTTGTATTATATGAATTAATATATATAAGGTGCTCAGAACAGTATCTGGTATATAAAAAGCTTTCAGTAAGTATTAGCTATTACTATTATTAAGGTCAAGGATCATAATTTTTTTTTGACATATTCTCAGATGATTGTGGTGGTGATGACAGGGAAAATAGTATCTTACCTGTGCATGAATACATTACATACATTCAATACATTTTTGGACAGTCAACACATACTTAATTCCCCAAAGGAGATGATAACCCTCCCTATTAGGTAATTCCCTAGTAGGCTGTCTCTTACACTGGAGAATGCTTTCTTACCCTTGCTTATGGATTCCACAGGCTTTCAGTGGCCTTCCAGATGACCAGGCTTCAATGGGTGTCCCGCCCCAGCTGGAGGAGATCAACCCAATGGGATACTGCAGAGTGTCATACAGGTGACGCCCAAAGAGCCAGCACACTGCCGACATGTACTCGAAATTACCATGGCCTAAGTTTTCTGTTAAGAGAAAGAGTTAAAGAAAAAGAATCAGGTAAAAGTAGATGAATACAAACTGAAGCTACTAGATAGGTCTAAGTGAGAAGGGTGAGCATGGGTCATGCCTTCTGTTCCTTTCTAAGACTTCAAACATAGGAGAAGACTGAGAGGCAAAGAAAAGATACAGCATCAAGACTAATATGCTTGGTCTTGATGCTATTATCCCTTTCAGACCTTCCCTAAGAAGAATCTTTTCCAAAGGGGAAACCATAACCTTAATGTCTTCATTTTTTTTTCTTTTTTTCTGCTCAAAATGCTTGCTCTCATAATGAAGAAATAACGTTCTCTGCCTAAGACAGAGGCAGTGGTAACGATTTTGCTCTCAATCCAAGCATAAATAATTCACTTACATAATCAGGGAGTCAGAGAGTAGGCTTCCTCCTGCCTCTCATTGTTTACAGGTTCCTCAGAATCTAGGAATGTTAACGCTTCCCGCTCTCCTCTTACCACTCATCCCCACCTAGCTCTGTGGAAGGGAAAGGGCAAACGGGGATCCTGTTGAAAAGAAATGTGTGCTTTTTTCTCTGGGTGGTTTTATACCCAACTTTATAGCTATGGTAATGAAAACACAGACAGACACAGGATGGGAAGTTTGGCCAAAAGGGAAAGCCACAGACACCAAAACTAGTGTTTAAATTTTCAGCACAGTCTAACTTATCTGTCCACACTGCCCAGTAACCAACACAGGCCAGGGTGAGCGATTGCCATGTTCGAGAAAAGCTGATGAGGAGGGGAACACGCACACGCACACACACACCTGGTGCCATCGATGCAGCCCAGTGTTCACTAAAAACCTTCTCTAAGTCACTGGCTCGGCACTGCGAAAGATCCAAACCCAGTGCAACACTGGCACTCCAGAAGTAGGTAGTGCAACAGTGGGAATTGGAATCAATGTCAAATGAGTTCAAATTGATTGAGCACCTACTATGTGGCAGGAACTAGATGGCTAGGATAGAGTAATGAAAGAGATACAGAGAAACAGGAACCTCTCCTCATAGGTCCTACAGTTTACAAAATAAGACAAGAATTTAGTTGAATAAGATGTATGGCAAAATTTGGTTAAGTGCCTCAGGAGATATAAACAAGTATTAAAAATATCAAATGAGAGGCAGATCATAAAAAGCCTAACATGAACTGACCTCCTCCCCTGAGCTTCCACAGTATGCTGTGCAGAACTCTCTCACTGTACTTTCCTGTAACAGTCTGCTTAGTGTTTCCTTTACTCCACCACATCTTATTCACTTCTGCACCCCCAACATCTATGACATGGTATTATAGAGAGTCAGTAAGTGTTTGCTCACTGGTGGTGGGAAGCTGTGGGTAGCTGGTATAAAGGTGGTTTCACTGGTAGGTAGATAGAGGGGAGAGGTAAATAGCAGGGAAGAGAGCTGGGGAAGCCTTAAAGGATCAACAGGAGTTTAATAAGCATAGCTGGCATTCTAGACAGAAGAAAAATATGTGAACAGGCACAAAGAATAGAAAATATTCTGCAAGTATTTAGCTAGAGCAAAGATTACAGAAGGAGAATAGAATAAAAGACTGAAGGGAAGGATAGAGCCACATCTTGAAGTCAATAAAATGGAAAGGCCCTTGGAAATGCTTGAGAATGAGACTGTGTGGTAGGCAGCATAACAGACCCCGAAGATATCTGCACCCTGATCCCCAGAACCTATGAATATGTTACCCTGCATGGCTAAAGGGACGCTGTAGATATGGTTAGCGTAAAGGACCCTGACATGGGGAAAGTGTTCTGGACCATCCAGGTGAGTCCAATCTAATTCAATGAGTCCTTAAAATCAGAACCTTTTCCAGCTACAGTCAGAGACATACGACAACAGAAGAGGCAGGAAAGAGTCTAAATGTAGGAGAGACCTGACCCTCTCTTCCCCAGATATCTACATTACCTCACCTCTTTCAGTTATTACCAAAAAGGTGCCTTTCTCATTTATGACTTTCCAGGCCACTCTAAATTACAAACCACTACCCTATCCCAGCCCCAACACTCCCTTCCATAATGTATTTTATTGATTTATTTTTGTCTCATTAGCATATACCACTATCTAAACTATCCCATGATATTCAAATTTATTCAGTCTCTGAGTTTGGAGCATAAAAAAGAGTTCAGATAGCAAGGCATAATACATTATCCAAATCTGATTGATTGCTGAATTTTGGATAACATGTAATAAGAGTTCATAAAGCAAAGGACTGATCCAAAATTACCTGAATCCATTCACTTCCTGAGCTCATATAGGGAGAGTTCAGATAGTGTGACACTGCATAGCATCAGATAACTTCATGTTTAATTTACTAATGTAATTATTAATTTCTGTATTCCCTCACACTGGAATGTAAACTCCATGAGGTCAGGTGGTCTTGCCTGTTTTATTTGCTACCATATGCCCAGCACTCAGAATAGTGCCTAGCATAGTAGGCACTCAGATATTTGTTCAGTGAATTAACACTTGAAAATGTAGGAGCAACCAAGGTTACCAAGGCAAAGATCACCAGACAAAAAAGAAAAGGGCCGAGAGGGAACACAAGGACCACATTTGAAGGGACTGAAGACCAAAGAAACAGGGAGGTAGACGACAGAAAACTAGGAAAAGGCAGTACCATGCAAGCTAGGAGGAACGAGCAGTTTCTAAGAGGGGTGCCCTACAGTGTCGAATGCTCCAAAGGTCTCTAGGCTTATAATTAAAAGAACAATAGTAACCTTGAGGTGAATAAACTATCGAAGTAGGGAAAAAAAAAAGCCAAATTACAAAGAGTTAAAGAGTGAACACATGGAAAGGCAGGGAGAAGAATGAAAACAAAATACATTCTAGAAAGGTTTAACAAAGCAAAGGAGAGAGATGAGGTATCAGGGGAAGGTATATATCATGTTTAGCTGTGTTTTGTTTGTTAGAATAAAGGAAAGGCTAAGCACTGAGAGCAGGGACTGTGTCTCATCACTGATGTATCCATAGGGCTTAGCACAGGGCCGGACAGAGCAGACAGGAAATAAAGATTCCATGATGAATGAAGAAGGGGAAAGGACAGGGGCTAAGGGAAAAAGAAGGCTCTGGACTCTGGAGGAAGTAAGAGCCCACATCAGAGTTAGCCCTGAAAGGAGACAAGTCTGTTGGCTTCAGACAAAAACAAAGGAAAAATGAGAAGAAAAGAATATAGAGTTAAGGCACTGGAGAGAGATACTGGCAGACCTTGCAGTCTGAAAGACCTCAATATTTTCTCTGAAGTTGTAAAAGGAAGGGTCATTTTCTCATAGCAAGGGAGAAGAGTCATTGGTAGAGTCTTGGGAAGAAACGTGAAATAGTCACCATCAGGAATGGGATGGAGAGTCAATAAGAAGTGGACAAAAAAGAGTAATAATAAATAGACAGGTAAGAACCAAATTCAGGCTTACAGATTCCACGTAGGGCACTAACCATTATGTAAGGGATGGCATACGTTTAAGCAACCAGGTACCTGAGGTGGGTTTAGACCACTGCAGGTCAACCGCAACGAGGTCCTCCAGCTCCTGTTCTGCCTGAACCAGAGAGACGGAGAGGATGCGGACAGACTGGTAGGCAGCAACGTTAGATAGCTCCTTTGTAGCATTAAATATCTAAAAGAGAAATTGAAATGTCATTTAACCTAGTGAGTGGTGAACTGGCCTGATGCCTCTTAGTAAACACTACCAATCCTCTAATCTCCGTCTGGGCCTTCCATATACTGAGATCAAATAAATAACCAAAACCAATGGGATGGACTGAATCACCTTGATCCACTCTGAATAATAGAGACCATGATGAAACATGTTCCCAGAGAGGGCAGGAATATAATGAAACCAGTGACCTTAAGAAGCAGGTCTATATTAGATAAGAGGAGCTGTAAAGTAGCTTAGGCTAATGAATACTGGCTATCAGAACACCGTGATATCTCGAAACTAAAATACTTCTACTCTGAAAAAGTATCTGATAACACAAAACCATGGCAATTAACTTCCTTTAAAAATGGTGTTTAGGATCCTATGTGAACCCAAAAAGGCCATGGGGAGGTAATCTGTCTAATCCATACCACAAAAGAAAAGTGTGATCAAAAGAAACATACCTGAGAAATGATTGAACTACTGAAACATACTAAAATCAGCCTCAAAATACTTACAGTCATCCTTCCATATCTGCAAGGGATTGGTTACAGGACCCTACCTCCCCTAGGATACCAAAACCCGAAGATGCTCTAAATTCCCTTATATATAAAATGATGTATTTACATATAACCTAAAATTATCCTCCTGTACATTTCAAATTATCTCTAGATTATTTATAATACCTAACACAATTTAACTACTATGCAAATAGTTGTCACATAGGTTGAGCATACCTTATCCTAAAATCCAAAATCCAAAATGCTCTAAAATCCAAAACTTTTTCAGTACAGACACAACACCAAAAGTAGAAAATTCCACACACAATTATTCAACACAAACTTTGTTTCATGCACAAAATTATTATTAATAAAAAGATTGCAAGCCAGGCGTGGTGGCTCACGCCTGTAATCCTAGCACTTTGGGAGGCCGAGGCGGGCGGATTGCTCAAGGTCAGGAGTTCGAAACCAGCCTGAGCAAGACCCCGTCTCTACCAAAAATAGAAATAAATTAATTGACCAACTAAAAACATATATATACAAAAAATTAGCCGGGCATGGTGGCACATGCCTGTAGTCCCAGCTACTCGGGAGGCTGAGGCAGTAGGATCACTGAGCCCCGGAGATTGAGGTTGCTGTGAGCTAGGCTAACGCCACGGCACTCACTCTAGCCTGGCTAACGCCACGGCACTCACTCTAGCCTGGGCAACAAAGTGAGACTCTGTCTCAAAAAACAAAACAAAACAAAAAAAAGATTGCATAAAGCTACCTTCAGGCTATGAGTATAAGGTATATGTGAAACATAAATGAATTTAGCATTTTAGACTTCAGTCCCATCCCCAAGATATTTCATCATGTATATGCAAATATTCCAAAGTTCAAAAAAATTCAGAATCCAGAACACTTCTGGTCATAAGCACCAGAAGGGATCAGAAAAGGGATACCAAACCTGTACTTTATTTTTTTTATTTGTATTTTTTAATTGTACTGGCTTTTCTATTGTATTTTTTTTCCAAATATTTTTAATTCATGGATGGTTGACTGCAGATGTGGTACTCATGGACACAGAAGGCCAACTGTATTCTCATCTTGGTTCTGGTAAGTCAGTTGACTCTGCAGATGTGGAACTCATGGATACAGAAGGCCAACTATATCCTCATCTTGGTTCTGGTAAGTCACCAAAGAAAAGCATGGGAGTCATGGCGATTTGAAAGGTAGGGTTCAGGGTAACAGCTCAGAACAGTCCCAAAGAAGTAAACAAAGAAAAGGGTCCAACCAAAGACAAATCACGCTTTCCCAAATCCCTTCGTGAAACCTCATCAGTTGCCAAGAGTATGACAGGAGTGGCTTAGGGTTTTCCTGGATAAGGATGTGTGTGCTATACTGAGTACTTTCTTTGTTAGTCCTAATAAGCATCATTCCTCTGTGAGCTTATGCACATGTGCTATTTCCTTTAATCCTGATATTTTTAGTTATATTTTTCTTTTATTTTAAAAAGACTGTATCAGAAATGTGTCACTTTGCTTTATTTGTGGGCATGTTTTTCTTGAGTCCTCTCTATCCCACTGGACCTGTCCAGCTTCTCCCAAAACAAAGGGCTAAGAGGAACATCAGGAAGCCCAGTTACCTTTCGCCTCAGGGAGCAAGCGCTCCAGCTGAGTGGGGCCCCCACAGCAAGAGGCACAGGAGGCAGGCTACTTTCCACTGGCTGCGAGCCACAGAGTGAGCAGCTGCTTCACTTTCCCTCCCACCCACCGCAGAGAATACAGCTGGCCCTCCAGCCTCAGTGTAAGAGAAACGATGGAGCAGCCAGGGTGCCCCCACAGAGCATGTCACTGAAATATGCTGTCCCTGGAATCGCTTTCTGACATGCTGCTGAGTCTGCTGCAAGCCAGTAAGATGGCCAGAAGCAAATGAAATGGCTCCTTTGGTCACAGTAGGAGCCACAGCCTGAAACGCTCCCTGGGTAGCAGCAGTTCTAGCCTGTCAGGGTTACTGGTCTTCCTGTTATCAGGCCAGAGATTATACATGGTCTCAGGAAAATTCCATAGGTAATCCACACCTGTTCATTCAGGATCCTACCTGCAAGTTAAATGTGAAGTAAACACTAAAGAGTAAGAACAGGCTAATGCTCCCACAGTATATTCTGGCAGGGAAATTATTTTTCAGCAGCAAGTACCTGTAAAAAGTCGCCTCCCTTGAAATTCAGTTCCGCACTAAGCACCAAGGATGGTATGTTGCTTCCATGGAAACAGTGGATGAAATTGCTTTCATTCTCTCCACCCACACTAGCTTCCGCACTGACTGGGAACTCAAGTGCCTTGTCGCAGTGAGACGCCAGCTTGTATGGGAGTATGGTAGAACATGCTACTTGTCTTTTAGACCCGTTGCTAACACTGTAGAGTACTGCGAGGCCAATAGAGTCAGGGTGGTTGGCATTCGCTTATATTGTTACCAGCACATTGGACTGGATCCAAAACACTGGCTGGAAAACTTCCATTTTCAAACTCACGTTTGTGTATTATTTCAAGCCAAAACTTGAAAGCCACAGAAAGTGTTAACAAAAACGAGGGTGGGGGCAATTCCTGCTGTACCTGACAATGTAATGACAATGACTTCTGAAATTGGTATCCCTTCCCAGTATCACTAGGCCTTTTTGATGGAAGCATTTCCTCCGGGATATTGGCAGCAAATTTAGGAATAAAGAGATTTCAGGAAGATTTTCATTTAAATGACACTTGGTTTCCCTGCTGATGAAAGGGGAAGCCTTACTCCATCTGCTGAGATCAGATTTCATCTCATCAAACACCTCAGTGTAATTATTTTTCTACCAAGTATTTAAATGAGGATGTAAATGAATACCAAGGTATTTGAAGTCATTAATGCTGCTGAGGCTGAGAGAAAGCACCGCTGCCTCTCCAGGGACCCAACCATTCACCATCAAAGCAGCTGCTCACTGATGTTCATTTTGTAACCTTTATACCACATTCTTGAATTAATGAAGACACGTCAAGAATCTATTTCCTCAGAGAATCCTGGCACGGGGTCTATGGGGTTGGGGGCCAGGCATGTGTGTGTCCATGTCTGTTTGCACACACACATGCACAAGGACACAGAAAAACTTTATTTACTTAAAAGAATTTAGAGATTCTGTAAGTTATTTTACCTTCCACTATGGTAGCAGTTCTAAAGTTGTGGTACTAAATAACTATAAAAAGCCAGCCATCATCTCCTGTGAATCTTTGATTGTAATGTGGAACCAGCCCTTCTCTTCTGGATCTTAATTTCTCTCCTTGTAAAGTAGGCATCTGGGGAGGCTCAAGATACTGAAAAATGGGTTTCCTCACTGACACTGGCCATGTTTTTCTAGGCCTAACTAGAAATATCCAAGTCTTAAGACCTACCCTGACTTAGGAGGCGACAGATGAACATTTTAGACTTTTCTCCATTTATAAACATCTCACTCAGTGTTATAAATAACACTCAATTTTAAAATTCTACTTTACCCTAACAACAAGATGGGCATACAATCTGCCATTTCCTTCATTTGAATGTGAAGAGTGGTAGCTTATAGTGGAAATCTTACCTCCTCAGAAAAGTCACATGGAAGGAGAGAAGGAGAAAGAAACAGACACTGTGTGTGTGTGTGTGTGTGTGTGTGTGTGTGTGTGTGTGTGTGGTGGTATGTTGTGAGTCTGGGAAAAGCAGCAAAATGAATAAAAGGGAAGCCATGTAAAGCATCTTTTTGATCAAAAAATAAGATTCTACAGACTGTTAAGAGATTAGAAAACTTGGCTTTTGGTTCTGTCAGCACCTAAAATGCTCTCTTGCAAACTAAGTGCATGATTTAAAACAAAAAAATTAAAAATTAACACTTGGATGTTTCAGATGGAATCTTTTTTCTATTCCCCTGTATCTCAGAGTTTGTATCCCTAGCTTAATATTGAAGACACCTTGGCCAGGCGAGGAGGCTTGCGCCTGTAATCCTAGCACTCTGGGAGGCCGAAGCGGGTGAATCAAGGTCAAGAGTTCAAAACCAGCCTGAGCAAGAGCAAGACTCCATCTCTACTAAAAACAGAAAGAGGCCGGGCGCGGTGGCTCACGCCTGTAATCCCAGCTCTCTGGGAGGCCGAGGCGGGCGGATTGCTCAAGGTCAGGAGTTCGAAACCAGCCTGAGCAAGAGCGAGACCCCGTCTCTACTATAAACAGAAAGAAATTAATTGGCCAACTAATATATATAGAAAAAATTAGCCGGGCATGGTGGTGCATGCCTGTAGTCCCAGCTACTCGGGAGGCTGAGGCAGCAGAATCGCTTGAGCCCAGGAGTTTGAGGTTGCTGTGAGCTAGGCTGATGCCACGGCACTCACTCTAGCCTGGGTAACAAAGTGAGACTCTGTCTCAAAAAAAAAAAATAAAAAAAAAATAAAAAATAAAAAAAAAAAATAAAAACAGAAAGAAATTAATTAGCCAACTAAAAATATATAGAAAAAATTAGCCAGGCATGGTGGCGCGTGCCTGTAGTCCCAGCTACTCAGGAGTCTGAGGCAGTAGGATCACTTGAGCCCAGGAGTTTGAGGTTGCTGTGAGCTAGATTGATGCCACAGCACTCTAGCCCGGGTAACAGAGTGAGACTCTGACTCAAAATAAAAAAAGAGTAAATTCTAGGCAGAAAAAAAATGTGTTTACTCCTAACAATCAAAATCTGACTTAACTTGACAGAAAATGGGATGGGATCCCCTGGCACAGACTGCTATTGAGAAAGTGACTACACAGATACAAACAGATCTGGTCCATGCCTTTCTGTGTAAACAGGGAACTGCAATGAAAGCATTAAGAAAAGTACTGTTTTCCAGCCTGAGCAAGAGTAAGAGCTGTCTCTACAAAAACTAGAAAAAAATTAGCCAGGCATGGTGGCGCACTCCTGTAGTCCCAGGTACTTGGGAGGCTAAGGCAGGAGGATCACTTGAGCCCAGGAGTTTGAGGTTGCAGTGAGATATGACAGCACCACTGCCCTCTAGCCTGGGTGACAGAGCGAGACCCTGTCTCAAAAATATATGTATATAAAAAAGAAAAGTACTCTTTTCCTTAATGAGTTAACAGCAATTCCACTTCTACACAAAACCACGCCTTCTATCAAGAGATAAAACTTCAATTTTCCTCCCACTCACTTATGCTAAAAGAAAGTCAAGCCAAAGTTCAGTTTAATAAACATTTCAATTCAAAAAGCTTCCATATATTTAAGGCAGAAAGTAAGAGTAAATAAAATATTAATTAGGAAGACTTAAATACAATAATTTAGATTCTGATTAAGAAAACTAATGATGAAATGAAGTTGATATGTCCAGAGTAAGATCGTTTTAGTAGCATTATTTAGTAATAGGTTTAAAAAAGAAAAAAAGTGAAAAAGAAGCTATAAGGAATAAAAGCTATTGAAGCAAAACAAGAAATCATAAAGTATGTAAAAGGACTCAATTTTATGACTTTTTAAAAAAGAGAAATGAATTGAGACCATGGTCTAGTTATAGAGATTTTTAAATCTCAAATGTAAATATTTCTCAAAGATGGAGAAGTGAATAATAAAAAAAAAAAAGGCGAGAAAATAAAAATCAACTGGAGAAAACTCAGTTTTAGAGAATGTGCTAGGGAAAACAGTAATCTTTCCAAGTTCCTAACCTATTAAAGGAAATAAATCAAAGTATATAAAAGATATTAGTACCAATCAGTAACTACCAATTTAATCAATAACTTACCTCTTAAGGTTGTTAAATCAAATTAATTAATACATTCAAAGCACTGAGAACAGATCTTGGAATGTGGTAAATAATCAATAGGAAACAGCCCTCTTCCTCACCACTGCCTCCCTCTTCCTCTTCCTTTTTCTTCTTCAACACCATCAACATTGTTTATTATTTCTAAGGCTTTGAAAATTACCTGTAAAACAGTCATCTGCATGTTACTCTGCCCACTACAGAGCCAGACATCTCCAAATAAGACATCATGAATTCTCAGGGTCAAGTTCACTCTCCCCAAAGTCTGTTGTGCCATCACTTCAAAAGGTCCACCAGGTTTCATAGGATCTAGCACGACCATCCAGGTATCAGAGTGTACTGAAATAATAACAAAGCTCCAAGGAATTAATCAATCAATTAAAATGAAATTAGAGCCCAATCATACTCTTTTGTGGTGATTCCCAGCCTCTGTGATACTGAATTCAAGGTTGTAAAGTTTGGCCAAATTTCAGAGAAGGGGATAGAACTATAAGAGCAACAACATTTTTATCCTTAATCTGTACCAAGCCATCCTTACTTTTAACTGAAGCATTTACAAAAAAAAGTTACCCAGCTTTAATCCTAAATAAAGACAGGCAAAAATACACACAGATTCAAATTCAAGGGAATTTAATAAAAAACATAAAATAGAAATTTGTGTTATATTATCCAATTGTCACTATTAACACAATCTAATCCAATCAAATGTGAGCACAGATTAGAGAAATTTTTTTATAATCTGAAACTTCCCTTTACTTGGCATTATTGCACTTGTCATCAATCCCCACCTCCTCCCATGTTTCTAACAAGAATTGATACTACCAGTGGTCTAGGTTCTCTCAAAAACAAAAGAGGTTGAGTGGAGAAATTTACACATCAAAGAGTAATGAGAGGGGTATAAATTAATCTTTTTGTGAAGAAGATAGTCTGATTTGCCCAATTAATTATTTTCAGAGTTATTTACAAGACTTAAGGTTGTTGGACTCAGGGAGATGAGAAGCTACCCAAGACCCCATTTGGGAAATAGTGAATCATCCTTAGGAACCAGCCCTAGCACCCTGCTACCTCTTACCACTCACCAGATCACCCCTGCCAATATCGCACTCAGAAACTTAAGGAAAATACCTTCAGTATGCCTAGGTGAACCAAACAACATGAACAAAGTTGACAAGAGTGGGAAAAAAAGAAAAAATAGATAAATGGATATTTTAAAATAAATATTCTTGGCATTATGCCAAAGAATATGAACTGATTTATAATTTGTATCCATCAGGTCAATGTAAATTTGGAGAGGAAGAATGGCAAGAACTGGAAATGGATCATCCCAAAGTTATTATACCCAATCTGTGAAACATAATAACTATAAAAATACCACCCAAGTGTCTACTATGGGCTAGACATTGGGTGAAGTTCTTTCTAATCAGCAAGAGATAAGCAGAAGCATGAGATATCCAGATACATGATAGGTGATTAGTAAAAACTCAAATCATAAAGGATTTCTCAACGTCCTGGAGGAAATGTCCAAAAACCCCAAGGCATCAGTGAAAGGTTAGTGTTATGTTTGCTCCTCTTGAAAGCAAGACCAACTGCACTTGCTACTCCTATCCCTAAGAGGTTAATTAAGCCTGACCAAATGTTCGGTATTGTTTTTATACCACCAATAGCAAGACATCAACATATTAAATGTATAATTCACCTAAACCAGAAAAATCATTGTTTTGGAAACAGTGGGCAGCTAGTACAGATTGTGTGGCACAGGTGTGATGTGCTCCATATGGCTCACACTTCTGAGCAGGCAGACACTCCAATCTGTCCCAACTATAAGCTTGCCAAGGTCTTTCCAGGCTTCCTGCACTGACATATCTTACCGGAGCTTGGTCCTTCTGCCACCAACATTACTCACTTATGATGATAAGGTCAACCCCCAGAAAACCTAGGATAGGACTATTTCTTAGCCTTCTGCCACTCTACAGTTTATTCCCACTCACTGCTGTTAATCAGTTCCTTACACTTAGCCTCAATCCAACATGGCTGGTGAAGAAAACTACCTTCACCAGAGCTTCTGAGGAATTCTGCTACCCAGTCATAAAAGACAGTGAATGAGGGGGAGGGGCAAACTGTTTGGGCAAAACATGGCAATACCATCCTCCTACAGCCCAAGGGTAAGCTCACTCTAGCTCCTGAAGCCTGAAGAGAGCTACACATGAAGACCTCAGTCTTATTCCCAAGAACTGTCCTCCTGTAGAAATCTCAACTTCTTCAAAGACCTCGAAGAACTAACTACTTCTGTGCTGGTCCTCAAGTTCTTTTAGTTTCTAGCGTTTTTGCTCTCCCACTTGATAAAAGAAAAATAAACTCTGACATAATGAGTGTTAAGAAAAGTTAACTTCCAGGTAAGGCTGGGGAAAGCTGATGCCCTACAGAGAGGTTACGAATGGTGAAACTAACTCGAAGACAGTTCCTTTAAAACAAAAGGGACTTACTCCTACGTGTGTACAAAGAAGAACAGCGTCTGTGAAGACTTTCTTAGAGCAAAGGCAATGGTGGGGATTATAAAGGCAAAAGCCACCATGTTCCACAAGGACAATTAGTCCTTGGCTTGTCAGTTCAGGACTGGGTGGTTGGAGTGGAGCTCACCACTGGCCAATGAAGTCCTGCAAAGAGATTTTAGAAACTGTTTTAACCCATCACGTCCATTTGCTTGAGTCCAAACAATAAATTTGACCACTGACCACAAAGAGTTCACCATCACTAGATGCAAGGTCACCATCCAGCTGGTTTGCTGCTGATCCTGAGGCTTTCTGAGTAACACTCGCTCTGGTTCCTCCTGGGCTCTAACCACTTCCTATCTTGTAATCTCTTTTACCAGTCCAGCCAGGGTGAGGTTTTGAATATTCTCACTTTCGGTACATTCAAATCTCTATTTCCTCATATTCTGTTTTCTACTAGCTAGGAAGAATAATGTCCTTCCTTCATTATACAGCTACTTACAGTGCTTACCATGTGCCAGGCACTTCATCAAGTACATGACAGAAAATAAAACTCATCCCTGGGTTATACTGACAACAGAGCCATGCAAATTGAGGCTTTATGTCTTCATGTCTACATTGCTGGTGGCCTATTTCTTATTGCCACTCTTCTCTTCATATTCCAGCCAAGGGCATAAATAAAGAACTCTATCTCCATTTCCTCTACATCTCCCCAATTAACTCCCACCTCAAAATGGGAAGAACAAACTATCAAAGGGGAAAAAATGAAAATAATTTATCTAGAGACATAATTAGTCATAAAGTGCTTTCTTGCTTTTTCTTTTTGCTATTCACATCAGATGTTAATTATTTTGCAGGTTATCGTGCCAAAATCTCAGATGCCAAGAAGAGAAAAAGGAAAATTATCCATGACCTTTCCCTTCCCAAGAGTAAAAAACGAAAGCTGAAAGAAGCAGCCTGTTCACTTCTCCCCCACAGAATGCTGGCTTCATATCAGCTGTAAAGTGCTTCAGTGGTTTGTGGAAGTGGCCTGGAGATAAAGAAGGCCTGACTGCCTAAACTGCTCCTTCCTGGCCTACATTTATTCTGTATTCTAAAGTTCACCTCCACCACCAAATATGAATGCAAGAAAAAAAACGGCTTAAGTACTTTTCTTTCAATCAAATTGCTCATACAAGTTACATAACTATAGCGTACTGTGGCAGACACATCCCAGGGTGACACCCCAAAGTCACACCATTGCTTAACCCCCTCCCCTCAAGTGCAAGCAAAATCTGTCATTTGCTCCCAACAAAATGGCAAAGGAGATGAGATGATTAGATTATTGATTAGATTATATTGCATGGAAAATATGAAAGGATTTTGCAGACGTGATTATAGTCCCTAATCAGTTGACTTTAAGTTAATAAAAAAGAAGAATGTCCTGGGTGGGCCTACCTACTAAGTGAGTCCTTTATAAGAGAGTCTAGAGGTCAGAGATCTAAAGAAGCAGAGATGTTGCCATGAATTCTATGCCTCAAGGAAATAAATTTTGCCAGCAACCTAAGGGAGCATGGAAGCAGGTAATGTCCTACTCATGCCTCTAGATGAGAACACAGCCTGGCCTATAGCTTGATTTCAGCCTTGTGAGACCCTGAGCAGAGAACCCAGCTAACCCATGACCAGACTTCAGACCTACAGACATTGTGAAATAGTAAAAGTATGCTGTTTTAACTACCTAAATTTGTGGTAATTTATCATATAGCATAGAAAACTAGTATGCAGGCTAGCATTATAGACAGAGCTGGGAAGGGTATTAGGATTTTTACATTTTTTTAAGTTAGAGAAAATTTATGTATTTGCCTCAATCATGACAAACACAAGCAGACACACTCTCATTGTATCACCTACATATACACACCCCCACCATTTAGGTCAAAGTGAGAGGATATGCCTCCTTTTCCCTGATTTTATTCTGTGTGTCTGAAGGAACTCTCATGCATCATTTGATGATATAGTTTGAACTGACCCAGTACCTGACTTTGGCCCAATCATCTCTCAGGTTTTAATTTTCCCAATGCTTAAATGTTAGTCTGCTGGACAAAAACCCTTATGGTGTTAAATCCCACTTTGTTCTGGATACCTCGGAGATACTTATATATAATAAGTTAAATATTACCAGACGTAGACAAAGTGGCAAGTTGAGGTAGTCTGGTTGAAAGTCTCAGAGTCCTTGTCAAAATCTAAAATAGAAACCCACCTTCCAACATCCCCCACAGTATCTCTTTTGAGAGATATTTTCTTTTCTGCCCTGTGAAATTTCTTACATGTCTACCTCCTGGATTCCAAAGAACACTACATTGATTTTGCTTCATGGGCAGGACAGAGCAAGATGCCCACTGAAGCAGGTTTGCAGATCTCTATAAACTCAAATACCTTCCTTCTCTACTAAGCAAATGTGGGAAATCTAATAAATAGATATACCACCACCCACCACCACCAATAACATCAACCCCTTTTCCTGTGCAATTATAAACAGTCTATGAATCACTTGATTCCTTTAAGTTGCTGTTGGTTATTTTAATTTCAAATGATAGGTCACTTTGCAGTGAAGCAGCTGGGGCATTACTTGAGTCTAACTACTAAATGTGAAAGGATGGGATACAGTCAGTTCCTAAAAGATGGGCACTATGTGTATTCTTCTTTGTATTATTGTAGGGTTTCTGGCTCAGAGTGTTTTATACAGAGTAAGCCCTTGATCAATGTTTATAAAATTGAACTCAAGATAAATGAGCAGGTTCACAATCACCATAAAGAAAAAGGGAGACTCATCTCCTAATTATTACCTTTTATTCCACCTATCCTCCTGCCTCATGTCTGCCTACCTCAAATATTAGTTCTGAAACAGGAATGAAGGGGGAAAAATTCTAAAAATAATGTATAAGAACTTTTTTAAAAACTGAAATGCTATATAATATTGTATGTTTTCTGTATCTCTCTCTTCAGTACTAGGTAGTCTCTGACTCCTAAATATTTATTGATACTGTTAATTATTAGCACCAAGGAAATCCGTTTCTTACTTTTAAATCACAGCAGTTCTTTGGATTTCTACCCCAATGTCATTTACTGATAGTGCCACTATTTGTACATGATGCTTCTCATTTCTAACATGGACATGGCACAAACAGAAAACACTGCTGGTCCCTTGAATTCGTCACTTCAATACATCCTGCAAGTCACTGACAGCCCTTAGATCCCACAGAGAACCATGTCTCAATCAACTTAATCATCCCTTTCAGTTCTTTTTGTTTCATCAACAATATTCTTACCTTAAAAAGTCTTAAAATCCAAGAATTAGAAGCACTTACCTTGTACCTATGCCTGGCACATAGTATTTAAAAATGTTTGCTGCATGGAAGTAAATAATGAAGAAACTGTACCAAGGCCCATATCATTCTAGATTAGATCATCAGTTCTGTATACTGATAAAACTAATCAGGCAATTCTTGTTTTCTGAAGCCAGTACAATTCCCACAAGCTGCCCAGCCACTATACATGCTACCAATTGTTCAAACCACCAATTCGTGCATTAATTCTACCACCACCCAGAGTAGCCTCCTCGCCTGTCTCTTTCTCACTCCCACATTCCATAGCTGTACAACTACCTCTAAGACCCAGCCCTGAGTGTGACTTCCTGCACCCCATAACTTCTAGCTTTGCCACCTCCACACAGTCTTCTATATCTTTATGTCTTCTAGACAGAAACTCCTTTGTAAGGACTCCCTGCTCATAAAAACTGCTAATTCTCACCTTCTTGAATCCTCACAGCCATTCTCTTGGGTCAAGCCCTCACCATTTACTCTCTGGATATCACAGTAGCCTGCTAGCAGGTTCTCCCACCTCTATCTTACTGATCTCCAGTCCATCTTCCACAATGCTACCAGAGTAAACTTTCTAAAATACCAATCTGATGTTATTTTGCTATTTAAAATCTATCAGTCCAGAATAAAGTATATACTCCTTAGCAATGACAAACAAGCCTTCCTACCTTTCCAATCTACCTCCTGGCATCTGCCACCAGGTATGTACCCCAGACCACCAACCTTCCTGGCATTCACACTCATGCCTCCATGCCTTTGCCTAGGCTATCCCCTGCACCTGGTCTGCCCTATTCACTTGTCAAGATGAGCCTTAGACCAAATTAATTATCCCTTGTCCCTACAAAACATTCCGATTGCACCCTGTCCTTCCTCACTGTGGCACTTGTCACACCCAACTGTAGTTGCTTATTATTTTTCTGTCTCTTCCCCTCAGCTACAAGCTTCATTAAGGGAGAAACCACATATATTTTTCTCAGTATCAGTACCTAGCACACTAACTGGCACATAGTAGGCACTCAGTAGATATTTGAGTGACTGACTACATAATAATAGCAGTGACACTAATGACTGCTAAAACTTAGTACTTATTGCATGTCAGGCATTGTTCCAAGTACTTTACAAGTGTTAATTCCATTTAATCCTCACAATATTCACTACCTCCATTTTACAAATAAAGTGTGACACAGAGATATTAAATAACACATCTAAGGCTACGCAGCCATTAAGTGACAGAGTCAGGACCTGAATCCAGACAGTAAATTGTAGAACCTAGTCTTAACCACCCCTACATACAACCTCTCCTTTATATATGATTAAGCTCAATGTCACCATCTGTGGCAGTCTGAGTTAGTCTGCTTTTCTTCTGCACCCCATGACACCCCATATATACCTTCATCATAGCATTCATCACACTGCGCTATATGACTTGGTGTCTATTCCCATTATTCCATGGGCTCCTTGAGAGCTGGACTTTGACTCAGTCTTAATTTTCTTTGTATCTTCGGTGCCCAGCGCATGATAAATGCTCAAACAATTTGAATGGATGGATGGATGGATGGATAGATGGATGGATGGATGGCCGGCCGGCCGGCCTGAGCTGGAGCATAAGCATTCATTTTCAGATACTCCAGCAGGTGGCAGAAGAAGACAATAACTGAACAGAGGATGAGCTGCCTTACCTTTCACACTGGTCACTTTCTTCATGATGGTTTCCTGACCTTGGCACAGGGTCACTGTCACTATGGCTCCAGGAGAACCAAAGCCCCATATCACTGCCCCAGCAGGCTCCTTCTGCAACACCATGTAATTATCGAAGTATGAAGCAAAGCGAAAATCAATACCTAAAAATTTAGCAAACAATGAGAGAAGCATCACCAGGGAGATTCTGCACCAACTGGATCGAGTGAGGCAGCAAGGACCATACAGTGTTTAGGCAAGAGAATTTGAATATGCTCAGTCCTTTTAATCTTCTACAATGCATCTGATTCCTCTAATTAGGTAAGCAACATAACAACAACAGTTTCCCACAATAAGAAAAACTCAAGGCACCCAGGGCAACCTCCACAAGCCTCCACTCTTCCCCTTCCGAGCTCTTGACCTCCTTTACTCTCAGGCTTGGCCCGAACACTGAGCCCTCTCCCCTTAAATCACTGAAATTCTCCGTTCATGCACTCCACAGATGGTGTTTTTGAGAAAAAATAAACCACTTCCTTACCCTCCTTTCCATTACCACGCCCACTCTTAATGGCTGGGAATAAAGCAGCATGCCTCTCACCAACACAGCCTTCTCTAATCTTTCCCCTTCTAATCCCCCCCTCTCTACACTACCAGTGTCAATTTCTTTTAAATGATTTCATTTTGGTTTTCTGACAACCCGGTATACTGCACCAAAAACTCTAAATAAGCATGTATGAAAATTTGTGACTGGTCTGATTTATCTGGTAAATTCAGATAAATCAAAACACAAAAGTAAGGTGAGAGATAGAAGGTCAACATGCCTGAACAAAAGTCTTCTGTCACAATTTTACCCTTTTCACAGGCTAAATTATACAAAAAGAACAAGAGGAAGCACACTTGAAACTGAATTCTATTCTAGAGTCACTAACAAGACTGAATAAGAACTCACTTTAACGAGATCATTCCTATTTTTAACATCCAGCCTATATGGAAGTATTTTATTAATAACAAACATGGATCCAAATTATCTCAGAGTTCCTCATCAAGACTTAACAAGGAAAAAAATAAAACTTAAGTTATATCTCAATTTATCTGAACAAAACAGACCAAAGAAATCCCTAAAAGAAAATAATTAACAAAATTTAAAAAATTTTAAAGGGTTTTAAACAAAACTGATGGGCAGGAAAGAGAATCAGAATGAACAAGACTGACATTTTCCTCCCTGGAAGCTACAAATGATGATGGCCCTTAGGCTATACCTAACAGGGCAGTACAGCTAATAGAGTGTCCTACACAAGCTCCCTGACCTGTTTATCCTGCTCTTAGAATAACAGCCCAGTCCCTAAAAATCCTCAGTCTGTCTCATGAGCTAGTTTGATCACGAAACCTACATGACAATCAAACATCACCCAGAAGGTCTACTGGGCTGGAGATGCACAGCTGCCATGAGCAAAATGCTCTAAGAAAAGACTACAACAACCCAGAATTGCATAAGCAGGTTGGGAGCCTGCTGGGGGGAAGGGGACGACACATGTGTGGGAGAGCCTTGTCTTGGGTAGGTACTTCATATGGAACAAAAAAACAAAACAAAACAAAAAAACAAATACCACAGGCATAAATAATAGCTAAGTAGAGAGAGAGGAATCGAGTCACTAGCTGTAGCTTGCCTATTTGTGTGTGCAGCCAGTAGCCCATAGGCTGGGGGGGGAATGTTTTCAAGTCAGCCTGTTTTCACCAACGTACACTTAGGGAACCTCATTGTGCATACTTCATGCTGAGTAAAGAATTTTAGAGGTAGAAAGGATCTTTATAATCATAGTATAAGCATGTTACTTACTGAGCAAGAGGAAAAATCACATTGCTGATCAAGAGACTGAAATCCAATTTGATTACAAAATTTTAAAAAATAGCTTACATATTCGTTAATTCAAAAATACTTACTTACTGATGCCTACTATGAGCCAGGCATTATTTTAAGCATTGGAGATATAATAATGAAAAAAAGGACCAAAAAATAAAAATAACAAGAACGGCAAAATTCCTTGCCAGCAGGGACCTTCCATTCTACTGGAGTAGGCTCCATGCTAAAACACCCCAGGCATTAAGCTTCTTTGGTCTCAACTCACATAGTTAGTTTATTACAGTGCTAGAAACCAAGTCTCATGATTCCTAAGTTCTTTTTTTTTTTTTTTGAGACAGAGTCTCACTTTGTCGTCCAGGCTAGAGTGAGTGCCGTAGCATCAGCCTAGCTCACAGCAACCTCAAACTCCTGGGCTCAAGCAATCCTCCTGCCTCAGCCTCCCAAGTAGCTGGGACTACAGGCATGCGCCACCATGCCCGGCTAATATTTTATACATATATCAGTTGGCCAATTAATTTCTTTCTATTTATAGTAGAGACGGGGTCTTGCTCTTGCTCAGGCTGGTTTTGAACTCCTGACCTCAAGAGCAATCCGCCCGCCTCGGCCTCCCAGAGAGCTAGGATTACAGGAGTGAGGCACCTAAGTTCTTTTAACTTCCACTTTGCCACAGATTGTGGGGTAAATCAAAGAAAAAATCACATTCCTTGCCCTTGTAAAGCTCAAATCCCAAGCTGACTAGGCAGTGGAACATTACTAAGGAAGTGAGCAATGGACAAAAAAGAGAAAGAGTGAGACAGGTAACTGTTTAGGCCAAACACAAGACATATACATTTAACATATGAATTTTTTCTTTAGGTCTACAATTTTTTTCCTTCATTTGGGGTAGAAAAATAAGAATTATTAGTGTTGTGGGGACGAGACCATCTTTAAAAGTAGACTAACAAAATCAGAACAGTGGTTACCTCTCGTGGAGAACTGGTTGGGGCACACTGGCAGTCTCAATAAAACTAGCAATGTTCTAGTTCTGGAGTTGGGTATTCATTTTATTGTTCATTTTATTGCTCCCGAGTGTTCATTTTATTGTTTCATTGTTACATATTTTTTTTACATCTCCAGTATTACATGATAAACATAGGCACAGAGGAATGATTTAATAGAAGGATATTAGGATATGCAACCAAGTAACAAGGAAGGAAAATTGAAGCACTAATGAATGAAAAATGTAGTCAGTGTTAGTGAAGATGACGTAACCATATGACCCAAAGGAGGAGATAAAATACTAACACTAAAATAAACAGCCTTTAACAGAAAAACTAATAAAATACCTTCTCCCCACCTCATATGATGGATCTCAAAGGTCGCTGAGTGGGGATGAAAGTCAAAGAACATACAGAGAGGTATTTGTGCTGTTGTTAAATTCTGAAAAAGGATTTATAGACTGCAGTTTGTCTGCATCTGGGTACTTTGGGGGTTCTTAGGTAGAGCAGCAGCCATTTTTCTGCACACATTTCTCCCACCTCAACTTTCTTAACAGGGATCTTTGGGTTCTACTCTTTGAGTGGTTTGAAGAACAAGTAAAAAGCCTAACATTATCACTTCATTTTGCAATAGCAGACAGATTCCATCTTCTGGTTTCCCCAATCTGTGACCCAGCCAGGCTAGTGAATTCAAATGACAGCATCTGACCTGCATAATAATCAATGCAGTCACCCTCCTCCTCCCCAATGCCACGCACATGATCTCACCACTGATATCTGTAAGATGCACCAGAAATCAAAGCTGAGCCTTAAATATTCTGAGCTAGTGAGGGGGTTGCATTTCTTAGCCCTAATAACCACTTAAACTAGTAAAATTTAATTCCCCCAAGGAACCCAGCCTGAAACAAACCCTCCCCAAAGGCACCACTGAGGGGGCAGCAATGAAATGTTTTGGATGACTCAGTCACCTGTTTCCAAATATTATCTAACTAGCTTCGCCCCCTTCCCTTGGAGCTCCCCTGTAGTTAATCTAAGACCCTGAAGGCCTCGGTTTGGGTACCTTTGGACCTTCCCACTCAGATAAACCGAACTTTCTGCCCCACTTGCTGCATCTTAACGGGACGGTGCGTGGGAGAAAGCAGACAGGCCCAGGGGCTCTAGCCCTGCAGACACTCGCAGGCCAGGCCTGGGTCGGACAAGCAGGTTCCTGGCCCGGGTTTCTTCTCCGACCTTGAGAGGGAGCCCAGGGTGGGTTTCCCGCAGGGGACGCGGGATCTCGGAGCCCGCACAGGCCGAGGGGCAGGGGTCCAGCCGGGCCGGGCCGCCTCACCTGCACTTCCGTCGGCGCTCAGAATTAATGGCAGAACCAGCGCAAGGACAGGTCCCGGCGCGACCATCTTTGAGAGGAGCCTCCACCTTCGCCGGACTCACAAAGTGGACTCCGGCGGGGGGGCGGAGCCATGTTGGGCGCACGCGGCCGGGGCGGGGCGGGGGCGGCCGACTCCGCCCTTTCCAGGACCTCCGCCCTCCAAGCCGCCCGCGGCCGCAGAGCGAGACAGTGCCCCTTTCCTTCTCGGCCGCCGTAGTTTTTTTTTTTTTTAAAAAAAAACCGTTACCCAGCAACGAGAAAAACAACCGGAACCATCGACCCCAGCTCGGAGAGAAAGAAGAGGTGAGGCGGCTTCTCCCACTTCCTCTCCAACACCCAGATCTCGCCTTTTCCTTTCGTCTCTCGTATTCTCTCAGCATCCTGGAGACACCCTGGGAACCCTGGGGCAGACTGGGAGCCGAGATAGCCCATTCTGGGAGAGTCAGAAATCCCAGGTCCTCAACGTCTCGCCCCTACTAGACCTGCCTTCCCCCTCTGTCCGCCCTCCACTCCCCAGATTGCTGCAGGGCCTCACCAGTCCTGTTCAGAACCTTAGACGGAGTCAGTACCCCATCTCCTAATTCCTCAAAAAAAGAAAAAGAGGAGCCGGACGCAGTGGCACGCACCTGTAGCCCCAGCTAGTCGGAGGCTGAGGCAAGAAGGATCGCTTGAGGCCAGGAGTTCAAAACCAGCCTGGGCAACATAGCGAGACTCCTGTCTGGGGTTACTGGGGAGAAAGGAAAGAAAGAAAGAAAACCCTCCACAAATTGGGCCTCATTAAACCGCCTAATTCCCCCAGCCTGGACCCCTGCTATGGCCTTCACCTTTATTCTACATTGACACTGTCAGAAACAGGCCAGGTCCCTAAGGTTGCTTTTCATGCTCAGTAGCCCAATCCTCTGCTTGGCAGCAACCCTTAATCTAGCCATTGTATCCCAAGACAGAGAGAGAGGCCTGATCAAGACAAAAGCAGGAAATAGAAGAATTCCAAAACTCTAGAGGCTGGGTTTCAAAATCATGGCCCACCCCAGCAGCAACCATATTCCAGAGGACCCTATTCGAGGCATTATGGGTCATGTTTCAGAAGTGACAGCTAAGAGAAAGATTAAGTGTGAAACTTCTCTATTCGACAAGTTAGAGTGATTTCTAGAACCATGATGAATTTCTACTTTTTGAAATGTTTTTAAATTTTAGACATTACGCAGCATTTTCTCAGCAATCCATAATGAATGCAATTAAACTAGTATTTTGACAATTGTTTGCTCTAAATTACTTCAGGATAGCAAAAATTACTTTTACTTTTTAAGGACAGAAAGAGGAACAGAAAAAGCATTGTCATATTGAAAAATTGTAATTTTTGTAATTTTTAAAAATGATTTGTCCTATTGAATGAGTCTGTATATGTAATATCCTAATTCATAACAGAGAATTCGAAACTCTTTGGGAGAAATGGGTATACTTAGGTTGTGTTGGGGAAAAAAGAATTGAACTTAAGAAAATTTGGGTCACTGAAATAATTTTTTGTCATAGTTGTTGTGATCATATAAGTAAAATCAGACAAATTTAAAGACAGTACTCTTTGATGAATCTCCAGGTACCTTAGGCAGTTCTTCCCAAGGAGATGTCGATTCCATTCTCCAACACCCACTACCGAATTCCGCAAGGATTTGGGAATCTTCTTGAAGGGCTCACACGTGAGATTCTGAGGGAACAACCAGAGAATATACCAGCTTTTGCAGCAGCATATTTTGAGAACCTTCTAGAGAAAAGAGAAAGTAAGCTTTTTAAAAATAGGCATTTTTTTAAATAAGACACTAAACATTTGGTTATTGTAAAACTTGCTTAAGACCATCTTCATTCTGCAGAAAGCCTTTATGAGGCAGGTAACTTCAAATAACAGTTCTTGCTTTTTGAAACAATATGTGCCTCTTTAATAGGTTCTCTTAAATTAGTTTCACATTTATCACCCAGACCTTCTCCATTATCCTTCTCATGGATACACAAGAGAAGCGTATTGCAAAAGATCATATATTCTGCCCCCTCCACTTTCCAGCTGACAGTTCCTATGCACCCCAGGCAGTTGACTGTCTATTCTTCCTAAAAGGAGAGTTTGCAGTTTCCTTTACATTTTGATTCTTCTCATTTGAAAGTATTATAAGTGTTATAAAAAAGAATTCTACACTCCTTAGATTAAATAAATTGGTATTCACTGGGATATATGAAACTGTTCTGCAATGAAGGCACAGAAACAAACTGCTTTGAAAAGTAGAGTGCCAGCTTGGGAGAGTAATTTATATTCTTTATACTCTAAAAGTCCCATCCTGCACAGAGACTAAGATCCACACTAACAGTAACTCTTTGGTTGAGAGCCCAAGCAAAGTTCCTACATTCCCATAAATAAAATTTCCAAATCTCTAGCTTTGAAGGTTCATAACTATCAGGACCTGACCCAGTGATCAAAATGGAAATTATTACAGCTATAAATTTGTAAAAAGCCTGGGCACAGTGGGCTCCTGTAGTCCCAGCTACTCGGGAGGGCAAGGCAGGAGGATTGCTTAAGCCCAGGAGTTGAAGGCTATAGTGAGCTATGATTGTACCTGTGAATAGCCACTGCACTCCAGCCTGGGCAACATAGCAAGGCTACATCCTTTAAAAATAAATAAATAATAAAAACCTATTCTTGACTAGAACAACCATTTTGTATAAATTTTTGTCATCATTACTTTTGATTACAATATTCCAACAGAGTGGCAAAGATGACTAAAATAGCAACTAGCAAACAAACATTCCATTATAAATCATTTTACAGAGGAGTAAAACCTAGCACATGACTTAAATTCAAACATCTCCCCCACCCACCTTACCTTTTTTTCCCTGCCCAGTTTCCTGAATGTTGCTGGTCTTTTCCATACACAATCAGTGTGAATATTTGTTGCATAATCTGAAACTTGAAATGTTTTCCACTGAAAACATTTGACAAATTATATTTGGGGAGGAAGTTATTAAGAGAATTCCTTTTGAATAAGAGGTGAATTGTAATGAATATTACTTTAATTTTGTTATTATAACATTCATCTTACAAATTCATGCAGTAAAAAGTCTTTAGTCATTTATTTAATTTTAGAACTCAGAAATATCCATTATAAAAACACATGAGTCATTGTTACCGGATCACAGTAATTAAAGCAAATGACGATTCAGATTAATGGTCTCAGGATACTAGCTCTCTAACTTATAAACAATGGGTAAAATCATTTGAAAAAAATTAAGCACCACACCCACTTCTACCCATGTCAACCAAAGGTGAGTTATCCAACTGACGAAAGTATCATAATTCAGTCTCTCCAAAAAGGCAAAAAAAAACAAAAACAAAAAAATCATGAACCTCTAGCCCTGTCTCCCATACCATGTAAAAATTCCCTTGCCAGCATTCCTTATAGGTAATTACTAGTCTTAATTTTTATTTTTTTGTGACAGGAAACCTGTTAATAAATGATGTCAATGGTATCTCAAATCACTAGAGAAAAGGTGGAGTTATTGAATGATGTTGATATAAAGATGGAAAAAGATAAGATTGGATCAATTTCTTGTATCATACACCAGGATAAATTCCAAATTGGTCAGTTTTGGTTTGTTTTTTTTTTCGGCATATTATGGGGGTACAGATTTTAAGGTTTCAATAAATGCCCTTTCCCCCCACACACAAGTCTGAGTTTCCAGCATGACCATCCCTCAGATGGTGCACATGTCACTCATTATGTATGTATACACCCGCCCCCCTCTCCCCTCCCCCTTTGGTCAGTTTTTTAAATATCAATAAAAGAAACCATACAAATACTAGAAGAAAGTATGAATGAATGTCTCTACATGTGAAGAAAAAGTTTTGCTAACTAAGTTGCTTGAATTGCTTCAAAAATCCAGAAGCAATTAAAGATTGATTTAACTGACAGCATAAAAGTAAACTTTTACATGACAAAAAAGCACCATAAGGAAAATAAAACTACAAATGACAAACAGGGAAAATATTTCAATTTATTTCCCAATAGGTTAATAAATCTAATAAATAAAGAACTTGTAAAAACAGTGTGTTACAGACTTAATACAAACCCTTTAGAAAAAACTGGCACGAGATAAGAGCAATTTACACAAAGATGAATGTCAATAGCCCTTAACAGATGAAAATATACTCAAACTAACTCATAATAACTGAAGCCCAAGTCAAAACTACACTGAGCTAACAACTACCACCCCTCCATCATACTGGCAAAAAGCCAAAAGTTTGCCAACATACTCTATAAGCAAAACTGTGGAAAAATAAGCATTTATATACATTGCTAATGGAGATGCAAAATTTTACATATCCAAGGAGTGGAACTTGGCAATACCTTGGTTACATATGTATTTAACCTTTGACCCAGAAGTTCCAGTTCTATAATCCTTGTTACATTTTTACTGTGGAAACAACCCAAATATCCATAATAGATTGATTGGATAGAGTATATCCACATAATAGAATAATATACAGCTGTTTAAGGAAAATCTCTAGATGATGTTATGGAGTGACCTTCAGGATATATTCAGTGAAAAAAGCAAGGTGGGAAAAAGTGTGCTTAGTATGATACCATTTATCCAACAAATGAGGTTGATATGAATACATAACTGTTTATATTTTCAAGAAAAGACTAAATCTTCAAAAACTTAACATCCACTTTTAGGAGAGAACAGTGTAGAGGGAACAAGTTAGAATATATTTTGAATTTGGAATCATAAATGTTTAGCATTGTCATAAAATTAAATTTAAAAATTATTAAGCAATTCTAAAATTCAAAAGCAAAGTGAAACAAATGCGCCTAACTATTATTGACTGGGTGACGTAACCACACAGAAAGGAATTATTTCAAATGATTATAAAACACAGTAATTTGACTGTACATCCGTGGTGCATATATCCTAAAATCAAAATGAACTATAAAAAATCTTAAACTGATTTCAGTAGTCATTAACATTATAGTATGGTTATTCTAAATTTTTTATGTATTATAGAACAAAGCAAGGTAAATAACTATGCTAGTGTTATTAGGAATAAGATTTTTACTGTAGGAAAAATGACATACAATTATAA